CCCAACTATGACCTTGATAATGACCTCGACGAGGAGCAACATATTGTAAGATCCGTCAGGAGATATTTTAGGGCCAACGGCGTCAGTGGCAGTAGTTCCTCCCTTAGTGATTTTTCCTCAGAGGAATCTTCAGATGATTCCTCAATTGAAGAGCTGCACGGCACATCAGCGAGATCTCCTGAGACTCCGCATTGCACACCAGCAGAGCTCCAAGGTCATATTAAAGACCTCAAGGTGCGTAAAGCACCTGGAGAGGATCGAATTACTAATAAGGCGCTGAAGCTACTTTCGCGGAAGTACTTAACTTATCTCGTGGCAATAATCAATGCCATGCTAAGGACCCAGCACTTCCCAACGGCGTGGAAGACCGCTGATGTCATAATGATTCCAAAGAAGGTGGGTTCGATATTCCCTCAGGACTACCGCCCCATTAGTCTACTGTCAGCTCCTTCTAAGCTCGCTGAAAAGGTGATTCTACGTCACCTTGAAAATTTCTCGGCAGACCACAATGTGATTCCTGATGTGCAATTTGGCTTTCGGTCTGAGCATAGTACGGAGCTACAGGCCATAAGGCTTGTTGAACGAGTAACCAGCGGGTTCACCCGTAATGAACGTACTGGCATCTTGCTACTGGATGTCTCAAAGGCATTTGACAAGGTGTGGCACAAGGGCCTTCTCTACAAATTGATCCATAAGTGCTTCCCCTTCTGGCTCCTAAAACTTTTGAAATCCTTTCTCGAGGGTAGGAAATTTCGGATCAAAATTAATTACGTTCTGTCGACAACACGGCCCATCAAAGCCGGTGTCCCTCAGGGTTCGGTTCTTGGATCAGTCCTTTATTCACTTTTAATTCATGACGTCCCTTGCCCCAGCAGCTGTGAAACCTATCTCTATGCTGATGACACTGCCCTGGTGGCCCAGTCGTGCTCTGGGGATCTAGTTCACGACAGGCTGCAAAGTGCAGTGGACGAGGTATTGGAATGGGCGAATCGGTGGCTGATCAAAATTAATCATTCGAAAACGCAGGCAATCTATTGTACTAAAAAACGTAGCGGCGCCCCGTCTGAGGTTTCAGTGAATGGCGCTCGGGTACCATCGGAAAGCTCTGCTAAGTATCTCGGTATCACTCTTGACAAGGGGATAACCTGGCAGAAGCACACTGAAGCGTTAAAAACTAAATTCCAAATCTCGTTTCGGCAACTCTACCCTATGCTATGTAGAACATCAAAATTAAGTTCGATCAACAAAGTTCGACTATACAAGATGGTTATTAGACCAGCGATCACTTACGCAAGTGCGGCTTGGTGTTTTCTCGCCAAAACGCATTTGCGTAGCCTGCAGGTTTTGCAGAATAGAACCTTGCGTACAATCACTAACGCCCCATGGTATGTTTCCAACGAGACCCTTCACAGAGACCTTGACATCCCTTACCTAAGGGGCTACATCAAACAACAAGCAGTCAAGCAGAATCGCATAACAACCCTTTGTTGCGCGAGTCAGTAGACTACACAGTCGAGCAAGTTCGCAAGCACACAAGGCCGCGACTCGCACTGTGAACAAAATTAAATCGTGCGACTTTAGGTCCAACCAAAATTATAATTTTTCTTCAACAACCAATCCCAAAATTAATTTTAGGATCAATTTAAAATTGCCGAATACTAACTAGCAATGCCAAGGCACCCCTCAAATTGATGCACTTCTTTTTTCTTTGCTCTCCCTCCTTCCTTCCTTCCTTTCTTCTTCCCTTCTTTCTCCCTGACTTGTTTGGTATCTGGGCAACCAGACCCGACAGACCTACTGACTTACAAGACTTCAACCAAGAGCAAAGGTCCTGCGGACCGCTCTGACAGACAATGACGAATAGTAACATACCATAGTCTATAAAATCCCTATCACGTACAACGAGTGCAGGCCTTGTTACCAGAAGACTATCCTCGCAGACTAACATTCTGACAGTATTTTTTGCACAAAAACATTGAAAAACCAGATTTTTTTAAAAACATTCTAGCGTGGGCTCAAGAAAATCCTCATACCATTCGTGAAGGTCATATCCAACAACGTTTTAAAATAAATATTAGGGCGCGTATTCTTGACGATCAGGTAATTGGCCCTTTCGAGTTACCCCCAAAGTTGCCAGGAGAAGGATACCTTAGCTTTCTAGTCAATCACCTACCAGAACTTTTGGAACAGACCTTAAACAACATGCCATTACAACGGAGACAGAATTTGTGGTTTCTTCATGACGAGGCGCCACCACACATTTTTAGAGGCGTCATTCAATATTTGATTGAACATAATCCAAATCGCTGGATCGGTCGAAATGCTCCTGATCCTCGAAAACCGCCAGCAAGATGTCCTGACCTCAATCCGATGGATTTCTGGTATTGGGGAGAACTTAAAGGGATGGTTTATGGGGCTGGTCCAATAACAATTGGAGCACAACCTCGCGAAACAAATTTTAATGCGGCTGAAATAATAAATGGACTACTTCGAGGACCTAGAATAAGAAGAAACTGGGTTCGTCCTAATGAAGCTTGTGTAGAAAATGGAGGACGACATTTTGAACACCTTCTTTAAATACAAAAAAAGTGCAGTGTGTTTTAAAAAGAAAAACAATGTATGTATCAAAATTGTGTTCCCAATTTATAAGTGATTTTTTTTAATACGTTCAATAAACTTTCACACACCAGGTGGAGCGTCGAGACAGTTAGTTTTTTTTAATTGTTTGTATTTTACGAGTACATTATCAAATAATTAAATAATACCTAAGAGCAAAAATAACAAACTCCATCTTTATTTACACTGCGTTCCGTCGTAATTTGCGTCTGGCATTGCGGCGTTGTCAGATTTTATTTTACTTTAAAGTCGCTTTTCTCTGAAAAATGCGGTTACACCCTGTATAACTGTTCCTACTGTTAAGTGGTGATTTAGGTTATGCAATATTTGAATATTATGATCCTTGTCTTTTTTATAGGGATTAGTTCCTTACTCTTTTCTTAACTTGTTACATTTATCTATCTATGTACAGGAGGATAGGAGTTTGTCGTTTGATAACCCCTTTGTTCAGTATAATTATTGAATTATGTTGGTTTATCTTGTCTTGTCTTACGGTCTGTCCTGTAGAGTGGACAATTTGTTGGGTATGGACAGATAGCTTGGTGGAAAACTTGATGTCTGCACATGTCAACAAGTGGAAATACGATTTTTTTGTGTCAGTTTGGATATTCACTTTGATTAAGTATAGTCAGTTTGATTATTGTCTCTATAGGTTATTGGTAGCTCAGCATTATTAATTATCGTCGGTTATCTACTCTGTAGCTACGCCCCTACTTCATGGAGAGGGGGGTTGGGTGTCTCGTGTTAAAATCGCGTAACCTTTTTTTTACTATTTTTGATCTCTAAGTAGTAGTTGGAGTTTCTCACTGAAAGTAAAGCTAAAAGGAAAACGGTTTTCTAGCAACGAGGACCTTCTGAGCGATTGGGACGAGTGTACCGCACTCCTAGGTGAAACTTGGCAGAGCTGGTTTAAAGACTAGTTTGGCGGATGGAGAAGTGTATTCAATGTGGTGGAAATTACTTTGAACGAAGTCAATAAATAAAGCTGTATTGCAAAACTTTTATAATGGGTGATTTTTTTGCTAGTATCTTTTTGGCGACACTGTTTTTGACAGATGACGCGTGAATCGTGTCTTGTGTCATTGTCAAACTTGTTCAGTTTGGTCTATAATTTAACCATGAATCGACTTACGAACGAACAACGCTTGCAAATTATTGAATTTTACTATCAAAATTCATGCTCGGTTAAGAGAGTGCATCGAGCACTGCTTCCAATTTATGGGCAATTTGGTCGGCCTACTGAGGGAGCTATTCGGAAGCTTGTGACTAAATTTCGAACCCAGTTTACATAATTGGACATTAAACCACCAACACGCAGACGTAGAGTGAGGACTGAAGAAAATATTGCGGCTGTATCCGCCAGTGTTAGTGATGACCGTGAAATGTCGATTCGCCGCCGTTCGCAGCAATTGGGCCTCTGTTACTCCACTACGTGGAAAATTTTGCGACAGGATTTGGGTGTAAAATCTTATAAGATACAGCTGGTGCAAGAATTGAAGCCACACGACCTCCCACAACGTTTCCCATTTGGTGAATGGGCGCTGGCTAAGTTGGAGGAAGATCCACATTTATATGGAAAAATTGTGTTCAGCGACGAAGCTCATTTATGGTTGAATCGGTACGTTAACAAGCAAAATTGACGCATCTGGAGTGAAGACCAGCCAGAAGCATTGCAACAGCTACCAATGCATCCCGAAAAAGTCACTGTTGGGTGTGGATTATGGGCCGGTGGCATCATCGGGCCGTACTTCTTCAAAGACGACAATGGCCGGAACGTAACTGTGAATGGCGAGCGCTACCGTGCGATGATAACAAACTTTTTTTTGCCCAAAATGGAAGAGCTGGACTTGGCTGACATGTGGTTTCAACAAGACAGTGCCACATGCTACACCGCACACGAAACAATGGCCCTATTGAGAGGCGAGTTCGGTGAACAGTTTATCTCACGTTTGGGGCCCGTTAATTGGCCGCCTAGATCGTGTGATTTAACGCCGTTGGACTATTTCTTGTGGGGCCATGGTAAGGCTAATGTCTACAGGGATAAACCAGCAACGATTGACGCACTGGAAGCCAATATTGAAGCATTTATTTGTGAGATACCGGCCGATATGTTGGAGAGAGTATACAAAAATTGGACCTTGCGCATGGACCATCTAAAGCGGAGCCGCGGCCAACATTTACATGAAATAATCTTTTAACATTAAACTATATCGACCGTTCTATCGACTCAAATAAAGATTTAATCGTTTTTTCAAATTTTTTGTTTTTTTTTGAAAATCAAATCCTATACCTCTTAAAAAATCACCCGTTAGTACCCTTTGTGAATTTTCTAAAAACTTGTCATTCTGTCAGATGAAGGACATTAGGTTAATGAAACGAAAATATTAACATCTGTTTGTCAATTTTATTATAAAATATAAAAATACTCCATTTATGTGATATAATTAACAAGAACTTATGAACTAAACCTTGGCATTTACAGGACTCCTAAACATAGAAACAAAACGAGCAAAAATATATCTACCAACTAAAAGTTTTTCTTGATATGAAATATATGGACATTTTCACAGAAAATGTTATGTAGCTTTAAAATTACAGAAAAAGAAACATCACTAGCACACATACTTGATACAATTACTGATGGGTAACAAAATAAACGAAAGGGAAATCAACATATTTTCAGGGAAAGTATTATCAGTAATTGTATCCGACACATACACATTGATAACAGCATACACAGGATGTAAATAATTTGGAATAATTGGTACCAAAACGCAAAAATATAAATGCGTATATACGAGAAACTATATAGCTAAACATATATACAGGGTGTTCCATAATTATTGCGACAAAATGATAGGGGTTATAGAGGGCATAAAAATATGCAATTTTGCCTTATAAACCCCTGTTCGTAAATATGCCGTTTGAGCACTACCGCTAATTTTACCTTAAGAGCTCATAGGAGAAACAAAGAATTCACCAGCTGCAAAATGTTCGTCTAGCACATTTCACGGTCTCGCCGGTTTGTAAAAAAAGCCTGCTGTGTTTACATTTTTGTTATCGTAAATTCTCCACACCGATTCATTTAATTTATCTGAGTGGTGCGTCAAACTAGATAGTAAATAACAGTACCTTTGTGTTAAAATGTAGCGTTATTCGTATGCGGAACTTGCGGATATGCATTTAATTTACGGAGAAGCTGGTGGTAACGGAAGACGAGCCTCGCAAATCTACGCCTAACGGTTTCCAGAACGTCCTCATACGCATCACGCCATTTTTGCATGGATTCATGGACGTCTTCGTGTCAGTGGCAGCATCAGACGCCTCGCGTGAGCAGGGCGGCCCTTCACGAGGCGCACAGTAGAATTTCTCCATGACCTGCAACTACACCCATACCACCTTTTAAAAGTCCAAGCCATGGGTCCAGAAGACTATCTGCCGAGTCGACGTTTTTGTCGTTGGTGGCTGCAGCAGGAGTTGAGGCAACCAAACTTTGGTCGCTACGTTTTGTTCACTGACGAGTCCTGTTTTACAAAGGACGGTTATTTTAATAGCCGTAACAGTCACATTTGGCATGAAGAAAACCCTCATGCCATAGCCATCCATAGGGACCAACATCAGTTTTCAATTAACATCTGGTGCGGCATTGTGGACGAGCATATGATCGGGCCATATTTGCTTCCACCACGTTTGGATGGGCATGCTTATGGTCGATTCTTACAGCATGTGCTACCGGAACTATTAGAAAATGTGCCACTGAACATAAGAGCCAACATGTGGTTTTAACACGATGGCGCTCAAGCCCACTTTTCTTTACAAGTGCGGCAGTATTTGAACGACAAATTTCCAAATAGGTGGATAGGCCGAGGTGGCCCTGTGCCTTGGCCTGCGCGGTCACCCAACCTGACCCCACTGGATTATTTTCTCTGGGGCCATCTGAAAGCTTTAGTGTACGAAACTCCTGTTCCCAACCAACAAGAGCTACTGGGAAGAGTGATGGCCGCGTCCGCACATGTTCAGGACATACCGGGGGTATGCCACAGAGTTCGCCGATCATTGAACAATCATGCACAGCTGTGTATTGAGCAAGGTGGAGGACACTTTGAGCAATTACTGTAGGTAAGCTGTTTCAAGAAACTGATCTTTTTTTTTTGCTGCAGCCCAAACGGCATATTTCCGAACAGGGGTGTATAAGGCAAAATTGTTTATTTTGATGCCCTCTACAACCACTATCATTTTGTCGCAATAATTATGGAACACCCTGTATATATATATATATATAATACAATTAATTGTTAATTGGGAAATTGGCAAACTTTTTTAGGCTTTAGTGATGAACACTTTTAACGGTAATCTCAAGCTTTCGGTAATTCTCTATGGCGCCTTCCTCAGGAGCTGAAAACACATTTATAGTCAGAATCACGAAAGATGACTATTACGTCATACCATAAATTGTACTGAAGTAATCAATGGACGTACGTCGATGATAAAATCACGATGTCAGGAAAATAATGACACATTTACATTATGATTTTGCGAAGTTAGGTTATTTCACTGATTATTTTTATTTTCATTTTATTTCATGGTTTTGAGTAACACCTTAATAATAATTTTAGTTTTTGTTATGAAAAAAAAACAGATGAGTAGAATACCTTGACAGGAGCACCAAATAAAAAAGTATTATTCGGAAACAACCTAACCTGCTTTAACATAACCCAACTATTCATCTTTCAAATATGATCGATCATGCAACATGAAAATATCGTCTATCTTTATCGGATACATGGAAATTAGCAATACAGCTTGTTTAGACAATAAAATTCTGTTTGTCTCTGTCTAACGTATCTGAAACTTCATTAAAAATATTCACAAATCGCTGACGTTTGTCTTTACTACAGACTAAAATGATGACGTAACCGTCATCTTTCGTGATTTCGACTATATGATGCTAGCAACCAAAACAGGAAAGATTTAAATTTTAAAACAACTTACTCGTCGTTGAGGTTGCATCATTCTTCCGGACCGCTGATCTTCTCCACGTGAAGCAGATGTAGGAGGTTAGAAGGGACGTTCCGGTTTTTGTCCCCAAAATTGCTTTTCGTTAATTTTTAATATAATGTATTTATATAAAGTGTTAACACCTAATGATGGTTTCCGTCGTTATCAATAAGCACATTGTGTCCGTCCGATTGGTTTTATATTTGTAACAAGTGTTCTTATCCCCGCGTTCGTTTTGAAACACCATTTGGCTGCAACCTCAACGACGAGTAAGTTGTTTTACAATTTAAATCTTTCCTGTATTAGTTGCTAGCATCATAATTGTGTTTTCAGCTCCTGAAGAAGGCTCCATACAGAATCGCCGAAAGCTTGAGATTACCGTTAAAAGAGTTTACTAAAGCTTAAAAAAGTTTGACAAATTCCCAATTAACAATTAATTGTATTTTTTGCCTAACTGGTCGTTGGCAATGGCAATGACTACTGCTCATATATATATGTGTATAAGTGCTTTTTGCTAAAGTATATCCCATTTCCTATCACAAACAGAAGGCACTAATACTTCCTAAAAAGTATATCGTTTTCGAAATTATATACATCCTACACATTTTATGTTGGTATCAATCATTTTGAGGTAGTAACTAAACAGTCTCACACTCGAGCAATATTTCAACGTTCATTCAAATTTGTTGAACTTAGACAACAAGTAATGAGAAATTTTCATTCAGAGTTGTAAGATTGATCCAGATTGAAGAATTTGGTGTAACCAAGTACAGATACTCTTTTAACGAAACTGAAAATTGGAATATTATTGATATAAGAAAACAGCGAAATCTCGATAGAAGAGTAGAAAATTGGGGCCAAAAAGTTTGGTAACATCCAGGAACAAATTCCTTTAATACCAGCAAATTTTAGAGGTTTCATCAAAATTTAAAAAGAGGAAACGATTAGTTACTGCGTGGATTATTTGTTATTACTTTTGTGAGTTTGTAAGAAGAAAAAAGAACAATCTTTACTTTTAATAAATAACATCATTCAATCAACACCTTTCTGCGACTTTCGTTTTCCGGTCCTAGCAAATAACAGTTTTTTAAAAAGGTGTTAAGTCAGATTTTCAACAATCTTTTTCAAATTTCTGATAATAAAAACAACTTTTTCAACAAAACTGTCTATTCGAGATACTCTTATTTGTGTGTAAAATAACCTTCAATAATAAAAGCAGTCTTAACACAATAAAAGCGTCAGGATTTAAACTTTGAGGCCAATTATCTACAAACTATAAAATCTAAGTTAACGGCTGTTTGCACCAAAGGCTTCAATTGAAAATTTGTGAGTGAAATTATCAAATCATAAATCAAGAAAATGGAGGAACAGGTCCACCTGATTTTAAGTAACGAGGGAGAAGACTATACGGGTATCGTGGATATAGCAACCGCACATGTCATATCAAACGGTAAATATTATTGATACCATACATTACACAAAAAACGATCGGTCTTTTTATTGCGGATTCAAAGTTTATCAAGAAGCTTAGAGCAAAAATTTAGCGCTCCATTCACTACGAGATGTCGTGAAAAACAGTCAATCATCATAAAAATGCCTTTTAAAATAAAAAGCGTTCCAGATTTGACCAATTCTTGTTTGTCAAGCCAAGTATAATATTACTGTATTCGTCATTCATATTGACATATTTCTAGGTAAGTCAGTTCAACACAGTGAAATACAAAAACAAAAAAATATACTCTCCAACATTATCACTTTTCTGTTCCATTTCCTTAGAGATAAAACAACCTATCATTCAATACAGCACTAGGAGTCTTTTTGATGTGTTGTCCCACTAAAGCGGCCAACTTGTGAGCATACTGACATGGAGCTGGTACTCTGAAAACAAATTTATTATATAAATACGTTTTTTAATTTATTAAGCTTATGCAGCGTGGTAGAGAGTTTTAAGGCGACTAGTATAATGAGTTTAAAGTCACCTTGTAGATACGATTTTCGAATTGTCTAAAGTGTCTTTACTTATTTAGCATCAATGATAATGTCAGTTTTGTATAATTATGTGTTTACACATTTTTTTTAATCAATTTTCTGTAATTTTTACATTCTTGTCTATTAAAATGCATTTTGAGTATTCATAAAGTGAACTTTGATTTCACCTGCAGAAGGCCAACAGCTCGTGCTAAATTCATAAGAGAATTTCCAGGAAGAAAATCAAAACAGCGGTCCCTTGTTACCCACTTCACGCGTACTGGAGTGAGTAGCAGATGCGCTGAAGATTAGTCTGCGCAGTGTTCCGCCATTGGTACGGAGACTCGATCTGAATACTTATTTCATATGGCATTGATGACGTAACCGCCATGAACCGTGACTACAACTATAGGAAGATTTATCATGGAGGCTGGGAAGCCCAAGATGGAGAACAATTAAGAATTTCGTCCAAGACCTCATGCGAGACACTCGAAGAAAGTTGCGTCTGGTTGAGCAGAATGGGCCATCCCACATAATTCGATAGTATAGTTTAGTTAGGTATTGAGTTGTAGTTTATGATAAATAGTTAGTGTTTAAATGAATGTCTTCATAAAAAAAAATCCGATAAATATGTTGTTCCAAACCTGTTATGACTTACGTTAGGTAATTGGTAGTATGGAACTTCGTTCCCGCAAACATCATAACCATAATTTATCGAAAAAAGCGCCAAAAATGATGTGTTTTCTGTTATTTTATTCAAAAATTGCATTTACCATCCAAAAACAATTTGTTTTGGCGACGTTTAACTAGTAGTAGTAGAAAGATTTATTTAGCACATTTGGCTACATAAACAGAATAATTGTAAACAACTTAGAACTAGTAAAATCAAGCCATATGGTGTATGATGTAAATGCTGGGCAACCTATAATTGTAGATTTAACAAGTGACTTCTCAATTTTACTTTAAATTTTGTCAAAGTTTTCTGGTCTTTTATCTCTGAGTATAATTTATTATATTCAATCAACCCTTGATGGAAGACAGATTTGTAGCATATGTTATACTTTTTGGTCATTAAATGGAAGTCATCTTTATTTCTGGTATTATGTAAATGATGGTCGACATTTGATGATGTTAAATTAGTTAGACTTGATGGAAATATATTATTTTTTACTTTATAAATGAATATCATTACAAGATATTTGATAAAAATTTTTTACATTGAGCCATTTTAATTTGCTAAGCATTTGCCTAATTGAAGTATATTTATCTTTATTTAGGATTATTCTCATGCACTTATTTCGTAAAATTTGCAGTCTTTCAAAAATGGAATTATTGGCTAAATATAGAATAGTCGAACAGTACAAGAGATTTGGAAGAATGATGGTATTATAGATAATTTTTCTGCTATATGAACTCAGACATCCAGAAAGTCTTAAGTCACGAAACATACTGGATAATTTTGAAAGTCATTTTGGCTAATATTTTTCAAGTCGTTACAATTCTTACCTTTATTCAGTGTGGCGGCGTCATCCGCAAATCTGGCTATTTTACCAGTACTATTAATTTTGAATATACGAGGGAGGTCCGATAAGTACTTAGCCTCACCGCCATAAAATTCGGACCTTCTAATATAACATTATAATCAAATTTTCAATGAAACTCAATTAAAAATTTTATATCAAACATTATTTTAATGCCACGTAACACATGGAATTATTATCTGGGGATCCACGAATAATAACCATCTAAATTCTTTACAAGTAATACAAAAACTATTCATAAAAACAATTCATAATAAACCTTTACAATGTCCTTTCAAATCACTGTTTATAGAATCAAAACTGTTAGATATAAACAAATTATTTTGATATAATGTTATACTAGAATTCCATAAAATCAAATATTCGACCATTTATAGAAATTATTAATATGATACTAGAAATGAAAATAAACAAATAATTATTGCACCAAAAAAAGAAATAATGCTGGAATCTTCTATATACCTAGGTTCAAAATTATATCATAACTTACCAAAATATATTGGAAAAAACAATATCATTATTAAAAATAGATTTATAGCTTCTGAAAACTGATATAAACATGATGTAACTTATAAAAAACTAACATGTATGTATCTTTTCTTCATTGCTAGTCTACTACGAACCAAAATTAATGTACAATTTTATTATACATTTATATTATATATTTTTTTTTCAGTTTATTATAACTGCTATGTTAGATATATGTATGTTGTGTTAGCATGATATCCACATGCAAGGATATTTTACTTTTGTGGCATATCAATTTGTTCACAATTTGTAATTAGTAGTAGTAGTAGTAGAAGTAGTAGAAAGATTTATTTAGCACATTTGGCTACATAAACAGAATAATTGTAAACAACTTAGAACTAGTAAATTCAAGCCATATGGTGTATGATGTAAATGCTGGGCAACCTATAATTGTAGATTTAACAAGTGATTTCTCAATTTTACTTTAAATTATTCAAAGTTTTCTGGTCTTTTATCTCTGAGTATAATTTATTATATTCAATCAACCCTTGATGGAATACAGATTTGTAGCATATGTTATACTTTTTGGTCATTAAATGGAAGTCATCTTTATTTCTGGTATTATGTAAATGATGGTCGACATTTGATGATGTTAAATTAGTTAGACTTGATGGAAATATATTATTTTTTACTTTATAAATGAATAGCATTACAAGATATTTGATAAAATTTTTTACAATGAGCCATTTTAATTTGCTAAGCATTTGCCTAATTGGAGTATATTTATCTTTATTTAGTATTATTCTCATGCACTTATTTTGTAAAATTTGCAGTCTTTCAAAAATGGAATTATTGGCTAAATATAGAATAGTCGAGAACAGTACAAGAAATATTATAGATAATTTTTCTGCTATATGAACTCAGACATCCAGAAAGTCTTAAGTCACGAAACATACTGGATAATTTTGAAAGTCATTTTGGCTAATATTTTTCAAGTCGTTACAATTCTTACCTTTATTCAGTGTGGCGGCGTCATCCGCAAATCTGACTATTTTACCAGTACTATTAATTTTGAATATACGAGGGAGGTCCGATAAGTACTTAGCCTCACCGCCATAAAATTCGGACCTTCTAATATAACATTATAATCAAATTTTCAATGAAACTCAATTAAAAATTTTATATCAAACATTATTTTAATGCCACGTAACACATGGAATTATTATCTGGGGATCCACAAATAATAACCATCTAAATTCTTTACAAGTAATACAAAAACTATTCATAAAAACAATTCATAATAAACCTTTACAATGTCCTTTCAAATCACTGTTTATAGAATCAAAACTGTTAGATATAAACAAATTATTTTGATATAATGTTATACTAGAATTCCATAAAAACAAATATTCGACCATTTATAGAAATTATTAATATGATACTAGAAATGAAAATAAACAAATAATTATTGCACCAAAAAAAGAAATAATGCTGGAATCTTCGATATACCTAGGTTCAAAATTATATCATAACTTACCAAAATATATTGGAAAAAACAATATCATTATTAAAAATAGATTTATAGCTTCTGAAAACTGATATAAACATGATGTAACTTATAAAAAACTAACATATATGTATCTTTTCTTCATTGCTAGTCTACTACGAACCAAAATTAATGTACAATTTTATTATACATTTATATTATATATTTTTTTTTCAGTTTATTATAACTGCTATGTTATATGTATGTTGTGTTAGCATGATATCCACATGCAAGGATATTTTACTTTTGTGGCATATCAATTTGTTCACAATTTGTAATTAGTAGTAGTAGTAGTAGAAGTAGTAGAAAGATTCATTTAGCACATTTGGCTACATAAACAGAATAATTGTAAACAACTTAGAACTAGTAAATTCAAGCCATATGGTGTATGATGTAAATGCTGGGCAACCTATAATAATTGTAGATTTAACAAGTGATTTCTCAATTTTACTTTAAATTATGTCAACGTTTTCTGGTCTTTTATATCTGAGCATAATTTATTATATTCAATCAACCCTTGATGGAATACAGATTTGTAGCATATGTTATACTTTTTGGTCATTAAATGGAAGTCATCTTTATTTCTGGTATTATGTAAACGATGGTCGACATTTGATGATGTTAAATTAGTTAGACTTGATGGAAATATATTATTTTTTACTTTATAAATGAACATCATTACAAGATATTTGATAAATTTTTTTACATTGAGCCATTTTAAATTGCTAAGCATTTGCCTAATTGGTTGAATATTTATCTTTATTTAGTATTATTCTCATGCATTTATTTTGTAAAATTTGCAGTCATTCAAAAATGGAATTATTTGCTAAATATAGAATAGTCGAACAGTACAAGAAATTTGGAAGAATGATGGTATTATAGATAATTTTTCTGCTATATGAACTCAGACATCCAGAACCTCTCGATAAATATCCCACTTTACTGCTAATCTTATTTATAACTTTATCATAATGAATATCAAAAATAAATCGAGAGTCAACAAAAACCCCCAGGTATTTAAAATTTTCTACGAATTCAATATCTTCACCAGCCATATTCAGTTGAACATTTGTACATTGTTTTTTCCGATTAACAAGGCTTTCGTTTTACTTGTATTTAATTTTAGTCTGTTAGATGCCAACCATTTTGAGACAAGTTTCAAGTCTTCATTTATATAAGAGATACCAGACTGAATATTTTTAGTACTTATATAAATCATAGTGTCATCGGCGAAAATCTGAATTTTGCATTTTCTGACTATGGCAGATAAATCATTTATGTATAAAATAAAAAGAAGTGGTCCCAGAATACTGCCTTTGGAACACCCAACGTATTTTCAATTTTTGATGAAATAGTGTCATTAACTTTTGTAACTTGCATCCTTTTAGACAAATAATTTCTAAACCAATCTAAAACACTTCATGTTATACCATATGCCATCAATTTACCTAACATAATATCTCTATCATTCGTTTCAAATGCCCTCTTCAAATCCAAAAATACTACTATGACAACTTCTTCTGAGTCTATGGCTCTTCTCCAATTCTCACTTACCAACTGAAAAGCCGTTTCTGTGGAATATTTTTTTCGAAGGCCTGCTTACGCCTCCACTAAAATTTTGTTTTCTTCTATAAACTGCATTAATTGGTCATGCACTATGGACTCTTATAATTTTTCAATGTCTGGTAACACATTTACTGGTCTCATATCGCTGCATCTTTTAGCATTCTTTATTTTGGGAACTGGTGTTATTGTAGAGCATTTCAAATCTTCAGGAAAAGAACTGCTTCTCAGTGAACAATTGATCCAATTTAATACAGGATATCCCAAAATTTCGAAACAGTTTTTCAGCACGTTTTTAGTAGTGATTTCGGCGCAGTTGTTATTTGATTTTGAACTGTTTACTTTTTTCTTAGATAATTCAATAATACGCTATGAAATTTTGAAAGTGTATGCAACATTTCCCCCTGAAAACTGATTTTCATATAGTCAGGTGCAGTATTGGCAGTACCCACAATATCAACAATACTTTCCACAAAATATTCAATTAGTTTGTCTGCAATCACCAAAGAATTTGTTTCGGTACCGTTTGCGATTTGAACTTGATTTACACAATCATGCAGCTTCGAATTGATCAGTCTTTTTAAAGTCTTCCACATCTTTACACTGTCGCACTTGTTATTATCGATTTGTTTATCGTAGAATTTCCTTTTTTCTTCTCTAATTACATACACAGATTAATTGATGTGAATAATTTATTAAAAAAAATATATATCCACTTACCTAATGGTACCCGGCCAATTATAATACAAATGGCACAGCTTGTAGCACAATCGCTGTGTGTGGTCAGGCTTCAAGTTAATTGTGTCATGAAGAACAATGTAGTGTGTGGGATTCACTGTTCCCTGTCGAACGTTCTGCGGTACCAGGAAAAAGTCCCGTAGATACTTTCGAGAGATATCGTAATCTATAATGGTCCCGGGGGGAGGATTCTCGTAACCTTCCCTACCTGAAACAAAAAAATAGCGTCAAGCAGATTGATTCTATCCTTCCCACAACTTTTAATACAATTTTCCATGTAGCGCACTGACATCAGAAAGACATAGGTTTTGTGAGAGCCATACATGAAAAAAATATCTATTAAATTGTTGCAATGAGAGGACGAACTACGCTTTAGCGCATATCGCAAATATATCATTTCTTCTTTAGAAATTATAGGTCATGATGTAACTTCTACGATAATACTTTTTCTTTAAGAAGTCTCTGCTTGCTGTTTTATAGAACTTCAAATTTGTACTTTGGGTGGTAATACGAGGAATGTCTTTTAAGTTTTGCATATATAAACATAGTAGACTGCGCGGATCGCACGTCAGTACTGAATCGTAACCTCACTCTTTAGTAAATTTAAATTCAAAGTTTCACAACAATACAATGTGTTCTCACTACACTGAATTTTTAAGGGTCACCAAGTCATTAGAAAAACGGAACTCAACCGAGAACATTTCCGCGCCATAATTTATTACAACTTGCAGAGACAATTATCGCAACAAGAATGCCTTGCTGAGTTAGTGTCTGTTTTCGGCAACGAAGCGCCACATCAGTCGACAATTTCCCGTTGGTATGGAGAATTCAAATGTGGACGGGCGAGTCTTCGCGACGATCCCAGGGTGGGTGCACCAAAAACGGCAGTCACCCAGGAAAACGTCAATGCTGTGCGCAAACTCATCATTGAAGATAGACATGTGACATATCGCGAGATTGAGGCGTCCTTGAAGATCTCAAAGACCTCAATTCAAAAAATTTTACATGAAGAATTAGGAGTAAGAACATTAGTTTCTCGTTGGATACCCCACCTGTTGACTGAAGAGCAGAAAGCAGCCAGGGTTAATTGGTGTCAAAAAACGCTTGAATGTTTCAATTCCGGAAACTCAAAAAATGTTTACAGCATTGTTAGTGGTGATGAATCGTGGATTTACTGTTATGAACCAGAAAATAAACGACAGTCCGCTGTTTGGGTGTTCCAAGGTGAAGAAAAGCCAACAAAAGTCATCCGTTCTCGAAGTGTTTCGCAAAAGATGGTCGCGACATTTGTGTCAAAAGCGGGTCATATTGCAACAATTCCTCTTAATGAGCAAATAACTATTACTGCGGATTGGTATACCACCATTTGTTTGGCAAAAGTCATCACCGAGCTTCGAAAAATCAACCTCGAAAGAAGAATCATCCTCCACCAAGACAATGCAAGCTCGCACACAGCCCAAAAAACAACGCAGTATTTAACGGAAGAAAACGTGGAATTATTGGACCATCCTCCATATAGTCCCGATCCAAGTCCTAACGATTTCTTTACATTCCCGAAAATTAAAAACAAACTGCGTGGTCAAAGGTTCCAGTCACCAGAAGAAGCAGTTGATGCATTCAAAAATGCCGTTTTGGATCTGCCAGCAAACGAGTGGAATAAATCTTCGCGGAGAATACTTCGAAAAACAATAAAGTCATTTAAAACTACCTACCGGGTTGTTTTATTTCCATATGCAAAACTAAAAAGACATCGTACTAGAATAGAATATTATTTTATAAGCTGCCTTTTTGCTTTTTGCACAAAATGATACATATGAACATACATATATTATATTATGCATATCGTCGGCTTTCTCACCAAGTGTCCTAACCAACGTTTAGTAAATTTTACAGGAGAGCAAGAAAACGAAATCGGCGTGTTGGTGATTGAGCATTGTATGTAAAGTTTAGATATTTCCAAATTGAAAATTTCACTGTATCATACCATATTCATTGTCGATCATATGCTGTTTCAATACTTGCGGTAGCTTATTAAGTTACTTTGTAAAAAATTGGAAAACGCACGCAGGTCACTTCGTGAGAATTTTCAGAAGCTCGTTGTCAGATAGAGATAAAATATATTTTTATTAAAGTTCTTGTTATTATACTTTTGTATTTTTTAAGTAATTGTTGGTCTGCTTACAGCAGAGTTCATGTAAAGAAGGTCAGATCGACCTTTGAATTTTAGCTTTTCTCTAAAAAATGTCCCTCAATGTCCATGCCTAAAATGAAGATTATGACACAACTATTACGTGATGAGCTGAAGAACACAACTCGAAACGTCAAAGAAATTTTTATTGAAATAAAAACTAAAAGAAAAGCAACTAACTTAAACATTATCTTTTGACATATTACAAGCTAATATTGATATATTATGATACACAAAAAAGGGCAAAATTATTAAAAATTCATTCCGTTTCATGGGGCAAATTTCTAAAATAGTTTTGGAATTCTGGTAAGCGTACCATGGGGAGTTGGATTTTCACATAAGGAAATTAAATCGGAGTACTTCTTTTTTGTTTTTGTTGTTATTTTTACGTTGTTCTAGCTTAATATCATTTATATCATTACTATTTTTCATCAGTCTTTGTAACTCAATACTGTCATAACTAGACTTGAAAAATATTTTGGTGAGTATGTCTTTTCTTACCATAAACCCCATTTAGTATTTTGCCCTTTATCAGTTTGCCGTGTGGAGAACATTCTTAAATCTTTTGAAAGTTTCTTGCAGTCAAAAAATTTATTGGGATTGCTAAATAAGGTTGACGTTTCCTGGCCAATCGAAAAACCGGATAGAGTTGTCAAGGTTCAAAAAGATCTCCAGCTCCCTTTATCGCATATGAATTGCACTGTGGGCAGTCTCCCTCACTTTGACCAGTATTCGACCACCGGGCTGCGTATACTAACAAGGATTATTGCACACTAAGAGACCTATCTTCAGTTTGGTCTCTTCGTCGGCATTCTCACCAAGTGTCCTAACCAACGTTTAGTAAATTTTACAGGAGAGCAAGAAAACGAAATCGGCGTGTTGGTGATTGAGCATTTTATGTAAAGTTTAGATATTTCCAAATTGAAAATTTCACTGTATCATACCATATTCATTGTCGATCATATGCTGTTTCAATACTTGCGGTAGCTTATTAAGTTACTTTGTAAAAAATTGGAAAACGCACGCAGGTCACTTCGTGAGAATTTTCAGAAGCTCGTTGTCAGATAGAGCTAAAATATATTTTTATTAAAGTTCTTGTTATTATACTTTTGTATTTTTTAAGTAATCGTTGGTCTGGTTACAGCAGAGTTCATGTAAAGGTCAGATCGACCTTTGAATTTTAGCTTTTCTCTAAAAAATGTCCCTCAATGTCCATGCCTAAAATGTAGATTATGACACAACTATTAGGTCATGAGCTGAAGAACACAACTCGAAACGTCAAAGCAATTTTTATTGAAATAAAAACTAAAAGAAAAGCGACTAACTTAAACATTATCTTTGACATATTACAAGCTAATGTTGATGTTTTATGATACACAAAAAAGGGCAAAATTATTAAAAATTCATTCCGTTTCATGGGGCAAATTTCTAAAAAAGTTTTGGAATTCTGGTAAGTGTACAACGGGGAGTTGGATTTTCACATAAGGAAATTAAATCGGAGTACTTCTTTTTTGTTTTTGTTGTTATTTTTACGTTGTTCTAGCTTAATATCATTTATATCATTACTATTTTTCATCAGTCTTTGTAACTCAATACTGTCATAACTAGACTTGAAAAATATTTTGGTGAGTATGTCTTTTCTTACTATAAACCCCATTTAGTATTTTGCCCTTTATCAGTTTGCCGTGTGGAGAACATTCTTAAATCTTTTGAAAGTTTCTTGCAGTCAAAAAATTTATTGGGATTGCTAAATAAGGTTGACGTTTCCTGGCCAATCGAAAAACCGGATAGAGTTGTCAAGGTTCAAAAAGATCTCCAGCTCCCTTTATCGTAGTATGAATTGCACTGTGGGCAGAGTCTCCCTCACTTTGACCGGTATTCGACCACCGGGGTGCGCACACTAAGAGACCTATCTTCAGTTTGGTCTCTTCGTGCGAATTATATATTCACCTCTGCAGATAGGACACCCAGGGGTTAATGGTGTGTTGCCTACGCTAATAGATATATAGTTACAGTGAAAGCTCTCCTTGCGGACAGCTCCCATAAGCGGACATCTCTTTTAACCGGACAAAGTTCCTGGAACCGAATTTCAGCCATCAATTTTCACTGTTAAATGCATTCCGATAAACGGACGCTCTTATAAACGGACGCGGACACTAGATTTTCCTGTATGTGATCAAAAAATCTCCCATAAGCGGACGCGAAACTCTAATACCCGGACGATTTTTTAGTTCCGCTTATTGCAATGCACATATCTACATACATAAAATTCGGTAATTCCCCGATTTATATTAGGTGATTCCCCATTTACGCATTTCGTTGGGTAGCCTGTATGTAATCTTGTGGCTTGTCTTCAGTTCAGGCAAATTCGTAGTTGATTGAGTTACGTATTTTATTATTGAAACTGTAAAATGGCACCAAAAAAAGGATGCTCTCGTTAAAGGAAAAGATGGAAGTTGTTAACGTATTAGACAGAGAAAGTGTTTCAGTTCGTCATTTGGCAAAGAGGTTTAATATTGGGAAAACGCAAGCAGCTGAAATTGCCAAAAATAAGGAAGATATCAGGAGTAAATGGCAATCAGGAACTAATATAAATCAAAAGAAGGATTTTTAAAAAAAGGAAGGTTTTGCTATAGACAAAACATGTTTTGAGTGGTTTGTGAAAGCTAGAAGTCAGAACATTCCAATCTCAGGGCCGTTAGTGAAAATGAAAGCTAAAGAAATCGCCACTACTTTGGGCTATAATAATTTCAGTGCGTCCGACGGGTGGCTGCAAAAGTGGCGCAAGAGACATAGTGTGAGTTTCAAATACATATCTGGCGAAGCTGCTGCAGTAGATCAAGTTGATGTGTCACAATTTTTGGAGAAACTTCCGTCCATGTTGCTTGGCTACAAACCAGAAGATGTGTACAACGCAGATGAGAGTGGACTTTTTTTTCGCGCATTGCCCGACAAAACTCTGTCCTTTAAAGGAGAAACATGTGTGGGTGGAAAGTTGTCTAAAGATAGACTAACCATTTTATTCTGTGCAAATATGGCCGGTGAAAAATGCGATTTGATTGTGACCGGGAAAGCGGCTCGTCCCCGTGCTTTAAAAAACGTTGCTATTAAGGTTCTACCAGCGACTTGGAAATCCAACAAAAAGGCATGGATGACCCGAGAAATCATGTCTGAGTGGTTAGTCGAATTCGACCGGAAAATGAGAATCCAAAAAAGGCAAGTTCTTTTATTTTTAGACAATGCATGCTCTCATCCTCGTGATATGAAAATGAAAAATGTGAAAATTATATTTTTACCGCCAAACACAACTTCTGTTTGTCAGCCCATGGATCAAGGTGTCATACAGAACTTTAAATTTTATTATCGGCACTTGATTTTAAAACATATTTTAACAAAAATTGACGATGGTCAAAGCTTATCTGAGCTTACAAAGTCTATCAATGTGTTAGAAGCTTTGTATTTTATAAAAACAGCATGGAATAAAGTAAATTCCTCTACAATTAAAAACTGTTTTGGCAAAGCTGGATTCAGAAAAAGTGAATGTAGCTCAGAATTTGCTGAGCAAAATTATTGCGATGCTGAAGACGATTTGCCCTTAGCGACACTTGCTCAGTTACTGCGACATGCCAAACATTTAGGAGTAGCAGATCCCCAGAAAGTAGATGATTTCCTGGCCATAGACAATAACATAACAACAGAAGAATATGCCATTGGCAACTTTTCGAATTTGGATGTAGAAAGCCCAGGCCAACTTGAATATGGTAGTCCAAACGACTCAGAAGAAGAAGTGGAACTGGTGGACTCACTAAGCGGTTCAAAAACGATAAATTCATATGGGGAAGCTCTAAATCATATTTCTATATTGAAAAAATTTGCTAAAGATGATTTCACTGCATTTCAACATTTGAAAAATTTAGAAAGTTATTACGAAAATTGTCTCCTTCAGCAAAAGATGGTGAAATTTCGTCAGACAAACATTTTAAACTTTTTTCAACAAGCTAAAGAATAATGTTTTTTTTTAAATTCTCGTACCATGTATTGAAGCATTTATGTTTTTGTATGCGTATATGTACATATATTATATAGATATATAGCATAAATACATACTTTAAAAATGTGGCGAGTTTCTGTTTCATTTTTCTCATGATTATAATACCTCATTTCCTCATGATTATATACCCCGTTATTTATACTCTATACTTACATACTCTCTTTTAAACGGACACCTCCCATAAGCGGACAAAAGTTACGGAACCGTGAGTGTCCGCTTATGGGAGCTTTCACTGTATGCCTCTTCGTCATATGCTGGTTATCTCAATTTTTGGCATTTTGTCAGTTAGGACACTTCGAGAGAAAGGCGACGATATAGACATACTTAATATGGTATATCTAACAAACCTTTTTTCCCTCGAGTTTGGACGATCTTTGGACGAAATTACTTTTATTAATCTAATTGATCTAGCATTTAGTTTTCTAGGCCGACCACTTCTTTTAGAGGCTTCCAATATACCTTTTTGCTTATATTTGTTCAATATTGCCCAAACTGCTTTACGCTTCAGCTTCAAATTTTTGGCAATGTCGACTTGACGTTGACCACCTTTGTATAACTCAATGATCTTAGTTTTCACATCGAAAGAAATTTCTGGACCATGCGGCATGGTCTTAAAATCACTCAACTTATTCCACAATACTTGATGAACACAAACTAATCCTCTTCTGACACGAAACTGTACCAAACTAATCTTTGTCTACACATTTTTGTCCCTCATAAAAAAGTGCTTATATTCAGACTAGTATTGTGTTCATTGCAGATAATGTAAAAACAAGGAATTTAGTTTTTCTACTAATAACGCATTTGTTTATGGAGCAATGAAGTATGAATTCGTTTTCTAAAGGTATTCAGGTAAACATTCATATTTGTCTATATACTTTTGTACATTACTGCATGTCACCTTTGTTGATAAGAATGACTTCATTCTTCAGAAAATAAAGCATATTTATCTAAATTAATTTCAAAGGTAAAAATCGAGTTAGAATCTGGTTCCAGATGCATACATACCTTGGGTGAATATACGGGTGTTGATACGTTTTTGTACTACTATGAAGCATATTTGTACTGGTAATTCCAGGTCTCTTAAAACGCCCTCCAACTGCTCGATTTCATAGCGTTTACAATGATCTAACTGACCATCTCCTACACCATCACGAATTACCACAACTGAAATCAAAATATGAAATTAACGCTTAAGGCAAAATAAAAGTAATTATTACATATTTCAAAAACTGTGCGACCTCCATCCAAAAAGGGCTGAAGAGATTATCTGTTCTGGAACTATGGTGCCACCGAAAGACACTCCTACACACGAAATTCGCTCTGCACGCACAGTGAAAAAAGGGTTAGATTTTGTTTACTCCTTGGAAACAGAAGAGCGCGTTTCGTCACATACCAGTAGTCTGCTGGACAGTATGCTGAACTCACCTTTGGATGGAAACGAGCCATTTTCCATCTTCCACCTATCCAGTGCTTTTATAAAAGTTTCTTTGAGATAATCGCCCAATTCTTTGTCTTGAAACTTTGCCAAACTGAACCATCTCGAAACGGTCTCATTCATGCTGGCCACAAATCCGCAGACGGACGTTTTCTCACTTTTGCTGCCGTGATATACGTCGATTCCGCAAATCATCCAACCTGAAAATTGAATAACAGCAAGATGTAAGTGGAAATCAAAGCAACCTAACTAAACTGGTGAACAGTTGCTTTGCAATTTTACCCAAATTCAAATCTCGATATTTTCGGAACAGAAAGGGACATTGAATTGAGGTATTCGGGAGGTTGTTTACCAACTTTTTGAGAAAACGTACACGGTTCGACCGGTATATTTCATTTATTTACCCACTTATACAGGGTGAGCAAGGGGGCTATGTCAGATTCTCAATTTTGATCTTGGAAATTTTTCTATGCATGTTTTTGATCTTTGGACTATTCTAAGAAAGTGAAATCTCAAATTTTTCGAAAGTCGACTATATCTCATATTATAGAATTTTTAATTTATAATGTTGATCGGTCCTCAATATACCGTTTAAGGCGTAGATATGAGCATACCGGGAAAACGTCTTCCAAATCAAAAAGAAAAAAAAAACACCAGGTCGAACCGAAATACATTTATTGCAGGAAATAACGCGAAGGAGTAGCCTTTCATCCAGAACCTTGAATGAAAACTTATAAACCTAGAAGCTCTTAGAAGGAATCATATATCAACACGTCATTGAATATATTGAAGAAAATAAGATATTGACAAAATTTCAAGCAGGATTCAGAAAAACAGCAATACAAATGGTAGTAGAATAATGGAGGCGAAATATGGATGAAAAAAAGTTTACAGTAACATTGTTCTTAGATTTCAAGAGAGCATTCGAGACTATTGACAGCGAGAAATTGTTAACGAAATTTCATTGCTATGGATTTCAAGGTTCAGTATTCAACTTATTACAAAATTATTTAACCAACAGAAGTCAAAGAACTAAAATTGGCAATACATTATCAAACATTAAAAACATTTCAGTAGGTGTGCCACAGAGTAGCAAATTAGGTCCATTACTAGTTATTTTATATATTAACGATATTCAACACTGCAAAATTCAACTATTTGCTGATGATACATTAACATATATATATATATATATACAGGGTTATCCAAATTAAGTGTCCACCATTAGTAACTTTGTTATTAGTGAAAATACAAAGTTGTTTGAATTAGCAAACTAGTAGCATTTTTAACGCTGGTAAAAATGAGAAATTTAAAAAAAGAATTGAGAGTCGTTATTTTGATTTTTTCAGTAAAATAACATTTTTTTAAATGAAAACCCCTGTATATTATATTTTTTTCTGTTAAAGCATCAAATTTTAAACAAAAAAGTTCATAATGACTTTTCCGCTAAAGTCAAAAATAAAGTCAAAATAACGATAAATATTTTTAATTATTTGCAGTATTATAATATTAAGACGGCTATGAAAACAACATGGCGTTCGCGATTTGACAGCATTAAGATAAGCGACAAATTGTTAAACTGGACATACTCGCAACTAGAAGGCTTTGGAAAACAATGATAAAATCAAATAATGTCAAACATTAGTGTAAATACTTGTTTATAAGCTTTATTGTGTCATTAATTTAAAGAAAAATGTTCTCCCATGAAGAAAAGTGTGATATGTTAGAATGCTATTTAGTGTGCAGAAAATCCTCCTTGAGAGCAAGAGAATACTACAGTGAATTATATCCCGCTCGCATTCAACCGTATGAACGATATTTTCTGAGACTTTATCGAAAATTTAGGGGCAACGAAAATGTTTTTGCTAAAACAAGGGCAAAAAAAGAATTCATAATAAGCGAGGCCACGGAAATTGCAGTTATTGGATATTTTGAAGCTTATCGTGAGAATTCAATAGCAGATATTCTCAAGGACTCTAATTTCAGTTATGGTACTGTTCAAAGGATTTTAAAAAAATACAAATTTATTCCGTATAAGTACCGACCAGTTCAAACGCTTTTGGCAGGGGATCCAGAGAGAAGACTTGTTTTTTGCCATTGGTATCTTAGCTTCTGTCGCCAAAATGTAAATAACTTTCGTTACCTTTTATGGACAGATGAATCAAATTTTTCAAATTCTGGAATGTTTAATAGAAAAAACCACCATTATTGGTCAAGAGAAAATCTTTTGTTAGTACATCCAAGAGGCCCACAAGTCCGTTTCAGTTTCAACGTTTGGTGCGGTATAATTGGTTCAAAAATTGTTGGCCCGTTCTTTTATGAGGGAACCCTAACTGGTGAAAGATATGTGGAATTTATGTCAGAAATTCTGACTAATTTCTTAGACGAATTGGATCTTATAAGTAGACATCATCTGCATTTTCAGCAAGATGGCGCACCTGCCCACAACTCCAGAGGTACTTATCATTTTCTAAGTACTACTTTTAATGATCAGTGGATAGGAACAAATGGCCCAATACAGTGGCCTCCCAGATCACCAGATCTAAACCCACTTGATTACTTCTTGTGGGGTTACTTAAAGAACCAAATTTACAAGCGAAGGTACGATAACCTTGACGCGTTAAAGACTGCAGTTAGGGAAAAGATAACCCAGATAGATGGTAGGACCATACTTAAGACAGTTCGAGCAGTTGAAAAACGTGCCCAAAAATGTATTGAAGAACAAGGTGGTGTTTTCGAGCATCTTCTTTAAAAAAAATTGTTATTGTATTTTGTAAGATTATAAGTTGATGTTGAAAATAAAGTTTGTCGATACAATTTAATTGTTTCAGATTGGAGGCCATAACTTCAACAATTTGTAACCTAGGAGAAAAGTTATTGTAAGCTTTTTCGTTTAAAATTTGATGCTTTAACAGAAAAAAATATAATATACAGGGGTTTCCATTTAAAAAAATGTTATTTTACTGAAAAAAATCAAAATAACGACTCTCAATTGTTTTTTTTATTTCTCATTTTTACCAGCGTTAAAAATGCTACTAGTTTGCTAATTCAAACAACTTTGTATTTTCACTAATAACAAAGTTACTAATGGTGGACACTTAATTTGGATAACCCTGTATATATATATATTAATAATAATTGTACATTAATATATATATATATATATATATATATCAAGTAAAAACATTGAAACTGCAATAGAGCGGTTAAATAATGATATGGAAAACGTAATAAATTTGTTAAATGTAAATAAAGTTAAACGAAATACAAACAAAACAAAATATATGCTAATAGGAAAATCTTTAGACAAAAATCTTACAATTAATCATGGAAAAATTGTGTCAATCGAATCATTCAAATATTTGGGCATATAGGAGATAGTAAATTAAAATTTGAAGGGCACTATGAATATATTATTTCAAAAATTTTTATTCTAAAAAAATTGTGTACAGCACTATCATTCTTCCTCATTTGTTATATTTTTCGACTATTTTGTTCACTGCAAATGAAACTGTATTTTCAAAATTACAAATCTTACAAAATAAAGCTATGAGAATCATCGTAAATAAAAATAAATATACTAGAATAAATTTTATGCTGAAAGAACTACAATGGTTATATATTAAAATTTTCATAGCCTACTTTTCATTTTCATATTCAAGTTAAAAAATCATCTTCTACCAAATCACTTGGAAAATTTTATTGTATTGAACAATGAGTGCCACAATTATTCTACTAGAGGAAGTATAGACTTTCATTTACAAAACTGCAGTAGCAATATAACGAGCAAGTCAGTATTTCAAAAGGGATTGTACGAATTTAATAAATTAAGTAATGATATCAAGATGTTTGTCAGTTTGAAAATGTTCAAAGGGAAATTGATAAAATATCTCATGGAAAACCAGAATTCGTAGTAGTGAAATTTTGTATTATAAAAATATATAATCTTGAAGACATAATATATTTTGTGATATACTGTGTAATGTGGATATTATGGATATTGTAGCATTATTGCTAAATAAATCTGAAACAAAACAAGCGCTTTTCGTAAAACAAAAAACAATGCTTTAATGGAATATTTAAGTGTATAAATATTTTATTTATTTCGAAGCATTCCGCGTTAGGTACACCCAATATAATGATATAACTCATGACTGACACAGCTAAATAACAAGTTAAAAAAATGCAGTGTTGGTCACCGATGACTGACATTGTGGTCAATGTGTTAAGAAGGAGCTCCCCGGACAAAAGTTGGCTTAAGTTTTGTCCAGTCAAGTCTTAAAAAAATATTAAAACAAATCAGTATTACCTTTGAAGGGGAATCGAACAGTCCACAAAGTTCCACCCAACTTGCAGTTCATTTGTAGTGCAATTTTCTGTATGATAGATCTAACCTTTGAAGGATTGCCCAAAGTTCTGGAATTGATTACTTGCGAGGCGACCGGGATTTGAGTGCAGCATATCTTCTTTATGACAGAATAACGGTCTGTTCTCATCGTTGGACATATGAACACCACAATCTGAAATTGTAAAAATTGAGTACCGTAGACAGAACTGATTAAGTTTCATCTGTTACCTGTGTGTTTTTATCAATATTCTCTTGACAATAAGTCATGTACGTTTCTGTTCTGTCATTGGGTAATTTTATCGGTCTAGGTTGGTTGATACGACAGCCCATGACTGGGGCCAACTTCATCATGGTCTGAGCGAACATTTGCGCGTTCTTTGCGTCTCTATCCGTGAAGAAAACTATCCAGTTGAAAATATCTACCGGGCCTGTTACCTGAAATAAATTCGAAAAATCAAATGCAATCCCTTGAAAGCACCAGGCACAAGGCATATATAGAATTCGTCCAACGATATAATTGAATGAAAATGTTTAGAGTGTTCATGGATGTCTGAAGGAAACGCCGCTGCCACTTGACGATATACTAAATATTCAAATGTTATTTCTCGTTTAGATGTGTTGAGCTACATTGGGGAAAGGTTTACTTGATTTCTCACAACTAACCTTATTTTCTCCTACAGCCCGATTCCAATCAGCATTGTTATTGGTCTGCACCTGATTGTTGCCGAAATAGATGATTTCATTATCAAGCTGCCTAGCATGTAAATCGATAGGATTTTGAGCAATAGCGAGTCCCCAATCACTGAGAACCTTCTGCGCCTCTGGAGATTTTTTGATATTTTCCAGATAAGTTCTGAGCGCGTTAATTCGCTGATTCGGAGTTATCCGGGTATATTGCGCAACGTCTTTCATCACCTAAAACACATTATTTGCATTTACACGTTAAATAGCAATATGAAATGATTTTTTTTTTCATGATAATAATAAAAATTTCAGTGGGAAAGTTCACTTTTTGATTTAAGAATAAAAATACAAACTTAATGAAAAGAAAATATTTATTACTATCAACATATTCATAAAATCGATTTTTTATTAAATACACTGGACAACAAATTTTAGTTTTTTAATTGTATCTTGTGGGAAAAGTGCACTTCTTTGTTAATTATGGGGCGCTGAATCCAAAAATGACAATGAAATAAAAAAATTAGTTGCGGTTTAGAAAAAAAAAATTATTTTTAAGGATATATTAAAAAAAGTAACAAGATTCATATACTTATAAGAATCACTATATGCGCTGTCTCTTTTCTGTTCTTTTATGGATCGTTTCTGGAGCATCTCTACCAAGAGTCCAACAGTAGTCTGCAAGCATGGAAGGATTCCACTTTCCCTGGTACCTTTTTTCCATTGTTGAAATATCCTGATGAAAACGTTCGCCGTGCTCATCACTTACGGCTCCGCAATTGTCAGGAAAAAAGTCCAGGTATAAGTGTAGGAAATGTATCTTAAGAGACATATTACAGTCCATCTTTTGATACGATGACAGCATATTTTTGACAAGGGTTTTATAGTTGTCAGCTTTTCTATTTCCCAAGAAATTAGTGACCACCAGACGGAAATCATTCCAAGCAGTTTTTTCAATACCTGTTAAAGTGTTTTCAAACTGTGTATCTTTCAAAATATTTCGAATCTGTTGCCCAACAAAAATACCTTCTTTAACCTTTGCCTCACTTAGTCTTGGAAATTTCTGACGCAGGTATTGAAGAGCTGACCCATCTCTATCTAATGCGTTGACAAAGTTTTTCATTAGGCCCAACTTGATATGTAGTGGTGGTAATAAATTTTTTTTCGAATCTACTAATGGCATATGCTGTACATTTTTATGACGTGGCTCTAGGAATTGACGAACAGGCCAGTTTTGTCTGGTGTAATGAAGTGCCTTTGCCCGACTGTCCCATTCACACAAAAAACAGCAAAAATTTGTGTAGCCTAGCTGTAGCCCAAGTAAAAGTGCAACAACTTTCAAATCGCCACAAATATGCCATTGGTGCTCATCGTATTTTATCCATGTCAATAGGTACTTCATATTGTCATATGATTCTTTCATGTGAACTGCATACCCTACAGGAAGAGATGGTAAAATATTTCCAATATGCAATAACACTGCCTTTAAACTCAATGTTGAACTGTCTATAAATAATCTCCATTCTTCTGGGTTATAGTTTATATTTAAAGCCGCCAGTAAGCCGTTAATGTTACTGCAGAAAACTCAAGTTATTCTCCATATTGAAAAATGGTTCTAAGTCTTTGTGGCGTTTACGGAAAACACATACCGAAACATCGTCTTCTAACAAGTTCCACTGCTGCAGTCTTGATCCAAGTAACTCTGCCTTACATTTTGGAAGTTCTAAATCTCTTACAAGATCATTTAATTCTGACTGTGTTATTTTGTGCGATTGGTGGCATGACGTGCTCGGTATAAAATCAGGATCTCTTGACGTTGATGGCATATCTTCTTCCTGACGAATCACTCGATCGCCATGATCTGATTCGTTTTCTGATTCGCAAGTGTAGGATTCTGGGGGTTTTGGAATAGGATTTTCGTCACTGTGAGGCACAGGTCTCATCGCAGATGGTATGTTTGGGTAGTTAATAACCGATTTTTTTTTCTTGGACATGCCTGTGTCCAACACAAGGTACCATGCAAAAGTAACAATCGTTAATATGATTTGTAGGCTCTCTCCAAACCATTGGGACAGCAAAGCGCATAGACCGTTTTTTGCCATTTAACCAGCTCCTCAGACTTGAAGCACAGCAGATGTGGGGTGCCCACTGTTTGTCTTGATCACCTAGTTTACAACCGAAATAAAGCTGATATGCCTTTGTTATTAGTGGAGTAATAGACTGTCTCTGAGACGCAAAAGTCACTGATTTGATGTGAAGTCACACGTAACAAAACTGATCTGGGTTGTTTACACACTTTCGAGACATCTTGCATGAACGCTGTCAGCCAACTGAGGAAAAAATGGCTAATATAAAACAATATAATGTACACGTATGTATAACGTAACACAATCATGCCGATTACATCATCTTTCCTTGCCGAATATAAAAATGTAGCACGTGCATTCTTGTGAATTACAGTATATTAACACTGTCACAGCAGGAACACATATAATTACCGTATCTCTAAAACTTGAACTAATATTGAAAAAATAAGTTTCATTCCGGTTTTAGCACATTAAAAATAGTAATATTTTGTTGATTTTATTTAGGATATTTTTTGGCTGTTGATCAGTGATATCATTCCGTCACAATGTCTGCCATCAATCGCGCGCGCAAATTCTGAAAAATTATCTTGTATAGTCCCAGAGTGATGTTTATTTCTCGTCGAATGTTGTCTTTAAGCTCCTCCAATGTTCGTGGATTATTGGAATACACTTTTGACTTTAGATAACCCCACAAAAAACATCGCATGGCTTGAGGTCGGGTGACCTAGGAGGCCAGTGAATGTCTCCAAACTTCGATATAACTTTTTGAGGAAAAAGTGCTTTCACCGTGTCCATCGATTCTCTGGAAGTACGGGCAGTGGTCCATCCTGTTGAAACCATGTGTTTCTGTTAAATCGAGATCTGTTCTTACAATCGGAGAAAAAAAACTGTCAATCATGTCCTTGTATCGCTCGGAAATCAATGCATGACCATTTTCATGTTCAAAGAAATACGGCTCTAGGATCAGTGGCGGCTTGCGGCAAAATAAAACAGGTATTCTGCAAATCCGAACTTACCTATTTTTTATATGTCAGTTCGATCCTGCGCTCCTTGGCAGCAAATTTGTGAATCACATTCCCGTTGAAATTTTCTATGGTCGAAATAAATTACTTTTCAATGAACAACGCTGTAACGCGATCCTGAGTAATAGTATTTCGAAGAAACGTCTTGATTCTTTTCAATGTTGAGAAGTTTCACTCAGCCTCTGATGTTTACATAGAAGTTGTAACAATAATTTCTAATAGCTTTTTTGTTTCTTTTAGTGTTTCCTCCAAACTGTTTTGTATCAAAAATTTCAAAAGAGACAGAGTTCCATGTAAATCTCGGCAATCATTCCGTGCATAAATAACAGACAACTCTGTCTTTAAACGACTTTTTCCTAATTTGGGATAAGCCAAGCAGGTAGTTTCCAACTTGTCATCAGGAAACGTACCACAGTATTCTCCAAAGTGTTCGGGGAAAAAAGGGATGCGGCTACCAAATGATCTTTGAATTGAAATCTGTCATTTGCAGAATTCACTATATTGTCGCATACTTCTAATGCGACAACTCGGTGCAGTGCAAATACTTTTGGCTTCATTTATTATGTCATCAATTTTATTTCTCACATCGAAAATATATTTTTCAAAATTATCGATAGCCGTTTTAACTTGCGCTGGCTCGGCTTTTCTCTTCTGCAACTGGTTGAACAAAATGTCAACGTGAGGCATGACATGATGAAAACATTTCAACCAAATACGAAAACAGAATCGTTTAACATACGGCGAATACCGCAAGCTGCCTTGCAAACGGTTTCATTAGTGAAATTTTCTTCTATTTCTTCCATGCATTCAATGAGTGATTCTCGGTTCTCAAACACTACATTTATTGTTCGAATATTAAAATTCCAACGAGTTGTTGCTCCTTGGGGAATTTTTCCCCACAATTCTGTTCAGTACCTCTACGCGTTGAGGAGAATTATTAAAAAATCCAGGAATATCTTTCAAATCGCCAAAGAACACCCGAACTTGAGCATTTGCGGAAGCAGCTTGAGACATCAGGTTTAACTGATGCGCATAGCAATGCACATAGTGAGCAAATGGATATCTTTGTTTAATTTTTGCCTGTACTCCAGCGTTATGTCCGCTCATTACCGCGGCTCCATCATTGCTTTGTGAAATCAGTTTGTTAGGGAAATTTCCTGTTAATGGATCTACGACGCTCAAAATATGTCTTGTGAGAGTACCAGCGTCACATTTTTCGGGATTCATATAATTCCAAAAACGTTCTACTGGTTCGCCGTTAAATACGTATCTGAAAATTGTTACCAGTTGGGTTTTCCCCGAAATGTCCGTTGTTTCATCTGCTATGATCGCAAAATAGGAGGCTCTGTTAATCTGTTTTATTATTTCTTCATGACAAACTTCAAGAATACAATCCAGTAGATCGTTTTGTATTTATTTCGAAGTTCCTTTAAATATTGAAGCATCTTTTATGTGTTCGCTTAAGGTTGTATCAAGCTCAGCAGAAAAATTAATAGGTCCACGAAATATTCCCGGGTTTTGGGAGCTCTCGGTTTCATCGTGGCCCCGTAGCGCCAATTCAAATGCTCCGCAAAATTTTATACCGAGCACCGACCGACCAATCAGATATCGTACTTCGCATTAGATCTGTACGGATCTGTATAACGTGCAGCACATGCTGATGCTTAAATCGCGCATTTGATTTTGTAGAGACAGGCAACAGCAAGTGCGTGCGGCTTGTGTCGAAGTAGTGCACAGACCCTTTTCAAGTGGCCCATGAATAATGTTACGCTGCGGTCGCGACGAAAATGACAAGTACGCAATTGGTCGATTATAATGCTTTCTCAGTACTAAACAGACTCGACGCCGTGTCTTGCGTGGGCAGCGTTGCCAGTATTGTTTCTATTTGCGTGATAACATGGAAAATAAATAATGATCAAATTACTACTGCTTTTTTCTGTTAAGACAAACGTTTTGGCAGTTCTGCAGCTCTGCAGGACTTAAGGGCCAGCCGCCCCTGTCTATGATTAGGCGCATCAAACAGTCACCTTTGGACTCTTGTTGATATTTCTCTTTTGGGTTCGTTGGTGGCTAATATCTGTAATTTTGAATGCTCATATAAGCGGCTAAGTGAAAATGGGCCTCGTCACTGGAAACAACGTTCTCGAGTCTGCGCTGCGTAGGAAAAAATTCAACATCCGTTCAGCACAACATTTTTGTAATACGTTATCACTTGCCTTCAAAGCATGGACTGATTGGATTTTATAAGGATGAAAACCCATTTTTTTCTTCATTATGTCATGCAGTATTGACCTAGAGATTCCCAAAGCAGCGGAATGCTTCCGTACAGAACGCCGAAGATTTGCAATGATCGAATCATTTACACGACGAACATTTTCTTCGGTTAATACAGTAGGTGTGGGGTCAAGAATGGGTTGACTAAGAATAGAGCCTGTTTCTCGGAACCTCTTAATCCACTTTTTCAATAGGTTCTTACTTGGGACATCTCTTGTATCGTGTACAAAATTTCCGAAGGGCAGCTGCCTTTGAATCACCACTCGTAAAGTAAGCCTCGATAGCAAAAGCTCGTTGCGCTCCGGTCCAACGTTCCATTGTGACTATTTAACCCGCACGCCGAACGCGTCGATTATGACCTCTCCCCACTTCCTCGCGTATGCAGTTGCCGCGCAATTCAAATTTGAAACGTGAACTTTCCCACTGGAAAGTATAACTAGCAAATCAATATTTCAGGAAGGATTACTTGAATTTAATAAACAAAATAATATGAAGTCGACTTGTAACTTGCAGATGTTTAAAATAAAATTAAAGGAATATTTCATGATCAGTAAAAAATCTTAGCGATGCAGGTTTTGTTTTTGTTAAGTATTTGTATGGGGTTGTCCAAAACGGAAGCAGGAAAGTAAACGCATATTAAAACAAGAAAGATTGATATTCAAATCAAGTTGGGTACTTTATTTTGAAGGTTCATTTATACCATTTATGTATGAAAAATAATATCGCTCAAATGTTCATCACGACTGGATTTACAGACGTCCACGCGATGGTCGAAATTTTCAATGACATTTTGCAACATGGTCGGTTCTATTGCATTTATCTCGGCAATGATGTTGTTTTTGAGTTCTTGGAGGGTGGCTGGTTTATTGACGTAGACTTTGCTTTTCAAATATCCCCATAAAAAGAAGTCCAAGGGAGTCAAATCGCACGATCTTGGTGGCCATGGCACATTTCCTCTGCGCGAAATCACGCGATCACCGAAGAAGGACTGCAATCGATGGATATTGACGTTGGTTGTGTGGCATGTTGCACCGTCCTGTTGGAAATAAACATCGTCCATATCCATTCCTTCAAGTTGCGGCAAAAAATAGTCCTCTATCATCACGTGATATCGCTCAGAATTGACGGTAACGGCGTTCCCGACCGCATTTTCAAAAAAGTAAGGTCCGATGATGCCTTTTGACCACAATCCACACCACACAGTCACTTTTTGAGGATGCATCGGCTGCTCTTGATACTCACGGGGATTTTCGTTCGCCCAGATGCGGCAGTTTTGCTTGTTTACCGTCCCATTCAAAGTGAAATGCGCTTCGTCGCTGAACATGATTTTTGATGAAAAATTGGCATCAATTTGGCGGTGTTCAAGGAGCCAATCTGAGAACGTTCGGCCCGAAAAATGGTCGGCCTGACGCAGCTCTTGCGTCAATTGGATCTTGTAGGCGTGTACATTCAAATCCTTGTGGAGAATGCGGAGCAAACTGGTTCTCGAAATGCCCAATTCTTGGGATCGACGCGTTGTTGATTGTTTCGGATCGTCTCTCACACTCTCCTTCACAACAGCAATATTTTCCGGTGTGCGAACGCTCCTTGGCCGACCAGAGCCTGGAAGATTTGCCACAGAACCTGTTGCCTCGAATTTACGCACCAGACGACCGATGGTTGTTTCGTTTGGGCGGTTGTTGCGACCGAAATGTTCACGAAGCGCGCGAAACGTGTTTTTTATTTTTGCACCATTTTTGTAGTGCTGTTGAATAACTTTAATGCGGTCTTCAATCGAATACGACTCCATAGCGATCAATGGTAAACATTCAACTAACAAAATGACATGTCGGTGACAGAAAACAAAGATGGCGTCTATGTCAAATTGACGTTTACTTTCCTGCGTCCCTATTGGACAACCCATTATGTTATGTAATTGTTGTAATTTTTTAAAAGAATGTAATTGTAGCAATCATGTTAGATAAATCTTAAACAAACAAAATTAGCAATATGAATTGTTTCTTTTTATGAACACATTTTAAAGAATCGACTACATGCTTACTTTGAAGTCAGATCTCATCTCGTCAGTCAACCCTGTCATATTACTCAATTCTGGAATTAGGCAAACGATTTTCTCCACTTTCTCCTTGCTTCCGGACTGTGATACATTTTTCCTGTTGATCAGCAACGGCTGCTCTGTATCTTTTATGGTAATGTCGTATTGGTTCTTGTAGTATTGCACAAAAGAGATGGAACCTCCGTCCCTGGTAGGAAACGTGTCCATTGGATTCATATCCCAAGCGATGTCGTGGACAGTGTACGTTTTGTTGTTATATTTAGTCAGTATACAGGATCCTGTAAGTAATAATAGTGATGTTAATAACAGGTCTTTATTAGGTCGAAGTTTAGTCATAGGCTATTCTTGCACTTAACCCCCTTAAAACAGTTAAATTTAACATTTGCTTTTACAGTGTGTCTGGTGGTAACTTTAAGGACCGATTTTACTAAAAAATTCTTGATCCGGATCAAAATGGACCAATCAGAAGGCGTTTTTGTAGTAACAGATCAAATGAATATAGTCGATTTCTTCTAAAATATCCGTCAAACTAGCGGAAAAATATACAGGGTGTAATTTAACTGATGGCTAAAAATAGAGGATATGATTCCTGAGCTCATTTTCGGAAGAAAAGTTTATATGAACATACAGTAATGGACAAAAATATATAGACAAATTAATATTGTGCTGTATTTCTTTTTTAACTTGTTTTATTGATACACCAACCTGTATACATAATTCGTTTTAGCATAATACTCTATACATAAATAAATTCATTAGACTCCCTCCAATAAAAAATTAATTGAAAATCTGGAACTATGAAGGACAAAAATATATAGACAAAGCAAAACAATTATAGAAAAAAGAAGCAAAGTTCATTGAATTATAGAAAAGCAACCATGTTTGTGTTAATATTTTGTAGCATAACCATTATTATCAATCACCGCCTGGCATCGTCTCGGCATAGATTGTAAAAGTTTCTTGACATAAGATTCATCAATCTGTCTCTAAAGCGGCAAAAAGTTCATCCTTGTTTGAATAATTTTTATCTCGTATGTGCTTATCTAAGTATTCCCATAGATTTTCAGTTGGGTTTATGTCAGGAGACTGTGAACGCCATTTGAGAACTGGTATTTTTTCATCCAGAAGAGATTTGAAGTGTGATTCGAGTCATTATATTGCTGGAAGATTGTCTTCCATATAGGGTAACATGACATGCTTTAGTATGTCTGTGTATACAAACTTATCCATAATGCCATCTATTCTATGTAAAGGTCTCATCCCAAACGCCGAAAAGCACCCTCAAACCATAACAGACCCGCCTCCATGTTTGACAGTGGGCAAAGTGTACTTGGGGTTCAATCTTTGTCCACTAGGACGTCTAACGTAATGAACACCACCTGATCCAAACATATTGAACTTGGATTCGTCATTGAAACATACACTCTTCCAGTCACAGATGCTCCAATCAAGATGTAACCGTGTAAATTGTAATCGGTCCTTACGGTTTTTCCTCGACATTAGCGGGCGACGTGCAAATAACTTCAAATCATTTAATCTTCTACTTATAGTTTTCATAGAAATACTGACAATTCCTTTTGTCTTGATTTTGGCTTTTATTTGTCTTGGGGTTTTAAACGGTTCTTTGAACAAAATTACTTTTATTAATCTAACTGATCTAGCATTTAGTTTTCTAGGCCGACCACTTCCCTTAGAGGCTTCCAAGATACCTTTTTGTCTATATTTGTTCAATATTGCCCAAACTGCATTACGCTTCAGCTTCAAATTTTTGGCAATGTCGACTTGACGTTGACCATCTTTGTATAACTCAATGATGTTAGTTTTCACATCGAAAGAAATTTCTGGACCACGCGGCATAGTCTTAAAATCACTCAACTTATTCCACAATACTTGATGAACTCAAACTAATCCTCTTCTGACACGAAACTATACTAAACTAATGTTGAAAAGAATTTGTCTACCTATTTTTGTCCCTCATAAAAAAGTGTTTATATTCAGACTTGTGTTCATTGCAGATAACGTAAAAACAAGGAATTTAATTATTCTACTAATAACGCATTTGTTTATGGAGCAATGAAGTATGAATTCGTTTTCTAAAGGTATTTAGGTAAATATTCATATTTGTCTATATACTTTTGTCCATTACTGTATGTCCTAAGCCTCTTACCTTTTGTGCTACAGGGTGTAAAATTTTTTAAGAAAAATCGTTACCTTATCACTATAATACTGTTCTACTTATTTCCATGAAATTTGACATACACCTACTAAGCAAAAATAGGCATTTTTTGATGTAGAATATTTTTTCCTGTACGGGAAGTATACTGGAGATTTTTCAAAAAAATATGGTACGCCATTGCTTTTTCCGAAAATGAAAATATTTTTGAAATTCTCATTTATTTCGCAACAAATTTGACCTTTAGACTTTTTTCCGTCTGATGCACCGCTTTCACGTAAAAAATAAAAAGGCTGCTGCCCTATTTTGCTTTTAAAATAATGACATTTGATTGATTTAATCAATAATAAAGAGAAAATACGAGGGTGGTCCCAGAAGTACCCAACAAAGAAAACACAAAAATGTAAAAAAATGTATTTATTTTTCAACATAATCTCCTTTGAGCTCTATACACTTTTCCCAGCGATGTTCAATAAGTTCGATACCCTTTTTATAATAAGAACTGTCTTGCTCCTCAAAATAGCCATTAACTGCAGACATCACTTCTTCATCGTTGGAAAATCTTTGACCACTGAACCATTTTTTCAAGTTTGGAAACAGAAAATAATCCGAGGGGGCTAAATCCGGTGAATATGGTGCATGAGGTAGCAATTCTAACTTTAATTCGTTAATTCTGGCCATTGCAATAACGGATTTGTGAGCTGGTGCATTGTCTCGATGAAACAACACTTTCTTCTTAACCAAATGCGGCCGTTTTTGCTTGATTTCATCGCTCAAACGTTGCAATAAGTTCGCATAATACTCGCCGTTCATAGTTTTACCTTTTTGAAGATAGTCAATGAAAATTATCCCACGCGCATCCCAAAAAACCGACGCCATAACCTTGCCTGCAGATGAAACGGTCTTCGCCTTCTTTCTAGCCAGTTGTCCCTTTTAGTTCATTATTTTGATTGTTCTTTTGTCGCGGGTGTGAAGTGATGGACCCATGTTTCATCCATGGTTATGAAACGACGCAAAAATTCTGCTTTGTTGCCGTAAAACTTCGCTAAACATTCAATTGAAACATCTTCACGACACTGTTTTTACTCGATTGTGAGCAATCGCGGCACCCATCTTGCATACAGCTTTCTCATGTCCAAATTTTCAGATAATGCAATAAACCGCACTTTTTGAAATATCTACTATGTCTGCTAGCTCGCGCACTTTCAGTCGACGATCATTCTGTACCGCTTTGTGAATTGCAATGGAAGCATACATCGCGTACGGACGCCACTGTTAATATTAAAAAGCATTCTACATCAAAAAATGCCTCTTGGTGCTTAAGTAGGTCAAATTTCATGAAAATATCTAGAACAGTATTAAAGTTATGACACCATGTAGCTCAAAAGTTGTGAGGTTTAGGACATATTTTTTTTTTTCTAAAATCATCTCTCAGGTAAGTAATACACTGTTTTCAGCAATAAAGTGTTCAGTAATTGATGTCATATGGATCTAGGCATTATATCAGATTTTATCCTCGATGCGGGCAGGGATTGAAGGGTCCTCTCCCATTGGCCAATTTTTGATCCAGTTTTACCAACACACTTTCTAATTGGTCATTGTTTATCCGGATTATAGTTTTTGTAGCTAAACCAGGTGATGTACAAAGGATTTCATGATTTAATATGGGGGTTAGAAGCCCCTCTTACACAAATAGTATATTTGTCCGCTAGTTTGAGAGATATTTTAGAAAAAAAATCCTTTACTGGAAAGATGAGTTCTCATTGGTCCATTTTGATCTGGATCTAGAATTCTGATCTCCCGTTGGCAAAATCGTCCTAGGCATGCTAATAGAAAGTTGATCATACGTCTACACAACCATGCACTAAACTTGATGTACTTACCTATGATACTACTATTAGCCATCTCCTTAAATCTTCTAGGATCTACCGCTCTGAGTTCGTTGAATAGATCATATGCAGTTTGTGTCCTCAAAACACGATGTTGAGTGTCAAGACACAACATCAGACCATCCTCTAATTCATCCACAGTCACAGCAAATCCAGGAAATACCTCAAGTTTATGTTGCGGGATCAAAGACCTAAGAATCAGAATCGTAGCAGTTCTTTGAAGTGAAAAAATATATCTGATCGAAATGTAGTAAGAGTTTAGATTAAAACTGGGAGAATACAGAAGTGTCACGCTTTATCATCAAATCATGATGTATACTAATGTAATTAGTACTAAGCTGACAATCTCCATCTTATATTTTCGTTTTTAGATAAACGATAACCCCTATTTAAAAAGTTAATAATTCTGGCTTGTACAGGGTAGCCAACTAAGAATGCGAGGTACATTATCTGGGAACCTATCTAGCATAGAGGCTGGCTGCTAGGGGGAGAAACTGCAATCTTGAATCTAAAAACGTCATGTTTATGTGAATTCGGCTATACAGGGTGTAACCGTTATCGTAGTCATTATTGAAATGCGTAATAGGGGGTTCAAAACAAGTCAAAAAGTTCATATGACCCATGATCCAAAAGTCAATAGATTTTTGTCTAAATGGCTTTATAGTTTAGAACTTTAAGTGCTTTATATTGACCATAATCTTACTAATCTTTATAATCTAATCTAAAACGTATTTAAATTGGGTAATTAACAAATAAATGGCATTAAGTTTTTCTAAGTTGAGCCAAAATTTGTAGTCAGTAAGTTTCATTAAATAAAATATTTAAAACACACATGACAACAGTGCGTCGGTCTCTCATCACTCTTATCAAACCGGCAAACGGTAACAGTCGTTATTATGTTGTTTTGTTTTTGTTCGCGTACGTCGACATGTTTATTTACAATGTTCTCCAATCAAGAGTTCGCAGACATGTTGTTAGTTTACGGTGAAGCTCGTCAGAATTCAAACCTTGCAGCTCAAATTTATCGCGACAGATTTCGTCAACGGGTACACCCAGGCAGAAGGACATTTGTGCAAGTGTATGTACCAAAGACTTCGCAATACAGGAAGTGTTCCGCCCACTAATATTTGTACTCGAGAAAGACAGATTACTGTAGAGCAGGAGGAACAAATTTTAAATGCAGATATCAGCACTCAGGAATTAGGCCGCCGCGTAGGACTATCGCATACCATAGTCCATAGAATCCTACGAGAAAATTTGCTTTATCCCTACCATGTACAACGAATGCAGGCCTTGTTAACAGAAGACTATCCTCGCAGACTAACATTCTGTCAGTGGTTTTTGCACAAAAACATTGAAAATCCGGGGTTTTTTAAAAACATTCTATATTATAGCGACGGACGAATGTACTTTTACGCGAGACGGGATATTAAATTTCCATAATCTCACACGTAGGCCCAAGAAAATCCTCATACCATTCGTGAAGGTCATTTGCACCAACGTTTTAAAATAAATATTTGGGCGGGTATTCTTGACGATCAGATAATTGGCCCTTTCGAGTTACCCCAAAAGTTGTCAGGAGAAGGATATCTTAGCTTTCCAGCCAATCACCTACCAGAACTTTTGGAACAGACCTTAGACAATATGCCATTACAACGGAGATAGAATTTGTGGTTTCTTCATGACGGGGCACCACCACACTTTTTTAGAGGCGTCATTCAGTATTTGAATGAACATTATCCAAATCGCTGGATCGATCTAAATGCTCCTGATCCTCGAAAATGGCCAGCAAGATCTCCTTACCTCAATCCGATGGATTTCTGGTATTGTGGATAACTTAAAGGGATGGTCCAAGAACAACTGAAGCACAACTTCGCGAAAAAAAAAATGTAATGCGGCTGAAATAATAAATGGACAACTTTGAGGACGTAGAGTAAGGAACTGGGTTCGTCGTAATGATGCTTGTGTGGAAAGTGGAGGACGACATTTTGAACACCTTCTTTAAATACAAAAAAGTGCAGTGTCGGTTTTAAAAAGAAACATTGTGTTCATTATAAGTGGATTCCACTGTAGTTTTATGTGAGAAAAAGAAGGACAATGGCACATACCCATGATGCGTATCATAGTAATTCCTTCCCATCTGCGTGTACAGCAGAATATACATGATTCTTTTGAACAGGCAGTTATACAGATGTAGGCATTCTCTGTCTGCATGAGATTTCTTTTTTTTGTATATGAAGGTGCAAGACAGTGTTTGATCTCCATCAGGGCCGGGTATTGTAGCTGTGAACATTTGCGATGCATCTGTTATCTTTTTGGGTAGGTAGAGGACGCTACCACCGTCGAATACCCTCGGAATACCTGTGTAAAAGTGAAAATACAATAATGGATTGGTAAAATCGGACCTTATACGTGCCCCTTCCCACTTCAGTTGGCCCACTTCAAGATTTGTACCAAAATATGCCTTTATAAACTAAACATGACGAAACTATTTACTCCTAAAACAATTTATTTTCTCAAAAACATTTTAGATACACTCTAGTCGTAAAAAATACATATTCGAAATCACTTAGACCTATAACTAATAGAACATCTGAACAAATAAACAATGTGCGCATAAATGCGCGAAGTTAGCAAAGCAACAATTGAAAGATTACCATTGGGTAACATCACCTTTATTTATTATTACGGCTGAAATTCTTTGGGGCATAGTGTTAACCAAGTTTTGGTAAAAATTTGGTGTAAAACAATCCCATATTTCTTGAAGCTTTTGTCAGTTCGGTGATTGTACGAGCAGGATGTTGTTGTAGAACATTTTTCATCTCGTGCCGCAGTTTCAATAGGTGACAGATCTGGACTGCTAGAAACCCATTTCAAAAGTGGTACATTATTTTCTTCCATCCATTTTATAGCCTTTTTTGGGGTACGGCACGCTGCACCGTCTTGCTGAAACACAAAATCTTGGCCGGATGTCAAACATTCTTCCATCACTGGTAAAAGTGATTCTTCTAAAATTGCCAAATATTTGTTTGTATCCACATTTCCATCAATAAAATGAAGTTTTCCTACTCCTTTTGATGACATACTGCCCCAGACCATAATGGATGCTGGAAATTTCACTTTTCTCTTCAGACACTCAACATGGAATGCTTCATTTTTTTTGCGAATAACTCTACTGCGACTGTCACCAACAGAAACTTCGAATCGGGCCTCATCACTCCATTGTATTGCACACCATTGTTGAGGTGTCCATTGTGTATGTTCTTTGGCCCATATAAGCCGATTTTTCTTTTGCAGTGGAGTTAATAGTGGCTTTTCTTTGGCTTATAAACAAGTTGTGCAACTTTAGGGTTTTACTTTACTTTTTTTTATAAGAAAACTTGAAAGTGCTAAATCCCAGTTTGTGGGCCTCTCTATGAGTTGTGGATCTCGAAATTCTCCATCCAACAGCGTCACTCCACAGAGCACTTAATTGTAAATAATTGGCACGACTGTTTTTCACGATTAGTCTTCTTAATGCTCTTCGGTCGGCATTTATGATGTTACTTTTTTTCACATATCGTGGCTAAATATTAACTGAACCAGTTACGTTATATCTTCTAACAATATTTCTCACACTGTACCGCGACAAGTCTAACAAAGCTGCAATTTCTGAGTTTGATTTCCCAGAATTAAAAAAATTAATTATCAGTAACCGAATTTTCTCACTAATAACCTTTCCTCTACCCATTTTGAAAACCTTAACTACCGAAAACTATTTTAAACGTATTCTGACAGCTGTGATTAATAAAAACAATTGTCATGGCTTTTATTTTTCACAGCCACCTATGCGTTATAGACTTATTCTGCATTGAAATGAAAATAGGTTGATATGCTGTAATTGCAACATGTGTTATTTTTATGGTTCAAATTTGATTAGGGAGTGATAAAGTTGGTGTTTTCTACTATATATTATCAAAATATTCATTTTTAATATTTCACATCCTGCTACATTTTTATTATTTGTGTTTCATAAGAAAAAACTAAGATTTCAATAGTTGGGCCAACTGAAGTGGGAAGGGGCTCGTACTAAGATCGTGTCGCATATAGGAAGATCACAATACATAATAATTAATAATAGGCAAACCACGCGATAAATTTCAGATGTTATATAGCGAAATAGGTTGATGATAAACTACAATGCATGCTCATTTTGTTCAAAAAGCAAATGTTTGCTTCAGATATTATTTTCGTTTTCTGAGATAGTAAAAAATTTCTTAATACGTATATCAAAATCATAAGTTGATACCTCCCAACTGCTCCCTCACAACTGTAGAGACAAGCTTCACGCGTCGATTCTTGGCATCAAGATCTGGATTGAACTGGACTTCATATTCAAAAACACCACCATCTTTCTGAATATTAAGTCTGATGTAATTTGATGATGCTCTGAGTGGTTTTCCAGTTTCACCTTTATAGAATACTGTTTCGCGTTCTTGGAAAGAAACTTGCGAGAGGGTTTCTGTCACCTGTAAGAGATATGTCGGGAATATGACAACAAATACCGCGTGAAATTTGGGAGATGCGTATTATCTGGGGTTGTCCAAAACAGACGCAGGAAAGTAAACGCATATTAAAACAAGAAAAATTGATATTCAAATCAAGTTGGGTACTTTATTTTGAAGGTTCATTTATACCATATACTACAATTGTAGAGCGCATTTATGGCCTCCTTGAGTGATATACGCCTTTCTCTCCTTCAAAAATTTCTAGATTGCACCCATCCCATGTCAGCGCTCTCCTATTGTGAGGATATGTTTTCTTTTTAAATGGTAGGAAATTTCAGGCTGATAAAACATGATATAACTCAAAAGCAAGCACAATTTGATGCAAATAGATGTTTGTGACATAACCTCAAAATAGAGCGCTGACATGGAGAAGTAGAAAACTATGACAATTAACGAGGCCGTAAAGGCGCCCTATAATTGTAGGGACGACTGACGATATGGGCCTAAGCAAGGCATGTCTAGTAACATCATGCATTATCATAGTGTAATCATTACATCTCTATTATTACCTCTTGAATCTCTTTACTAGTTGTACTTGGTGCTGGCGATGCAATCGAAGTTGTAGCCTGAGTTCCAGATGTAGAAGGCTCTATAGCACTTACAGAGGAGTCTGCTGCACCTACTAACTTCTGCTTTTTCTCTTGAATCTTTTTCAAGAGCGCAGCCCTACCGCGGGGCTTTGGCGCCTCTGTGGGTTGCTCTTGGGGGTCGGGCCTTCCCCCTATAGTTCTCTCTTCCTCGCGTTTCCTTAGTAATTCTTGTATCAGGGCTCCTCGACCTCGAGGTAGAGGACGGTCTTCCATCTCTTAAAAATCAGACAACAAAAGAATCCCTAAGTTAATTTTGGTCAGGAGTCGGTGGATATTCTGGAATGTCCAGGAAATTATGAAATATTCAAATAGAAATCAGCGGAACGCAAAAACGCTCAAAAGCCCGCACATTCTCATCAGCAAAAACACCACAAAAACATAACCACATAGGCACATAACAGCCATGGAACATAAAATGATAAGATGTTGGCATTTTGCCGCGGTTCAGCGTTGCCAGCTCCTCGAAATTACCGTACTTTATCCTACACAGTGCTGCAAGTCCCAATTCCGTGTTTTCATGTTCTGGCAGAAGAGATCTCCTTCTTGGCAGGTGCGCACGGGCTCCCTTGCCTATGCAGCTTAACATTACTTCCAGAACTAACAATTTATAATTAATTGTCAGGAGGCATAGAGATATGTGAACGGAGCTGTTGGTTTTATGCAACATTTGGAAGTAAAACAGCTCATTCAAAAATTATGTATATCATATCGAAATATCATCATTTTAAGACTGCAAAGAATATCTGCGGCCGCTGGCTCGATACGAGGCAACACCGGCTGCTGCTGAACACTAAAACCTCTTTCATCGTTGCACTGTAGGAATTTACATTCGACTTTCTCCGTCGAAATGGCGGTCGTTTTTATTACTGACAGGAGCTGATTGTTATCTAAGCTGTGATAGTACTTAAAACTACCGTACGTCTGATAACTCCGACCAGCCCTAAATGATCTTTTTGACTATAGTCAAATACCAGAATTGCGCGGTACCTTTTGATTGCAGCGACGGTTGCCGACATTTCACAAAGGAGCGCCGCATTTTCGAAGGCCTCCGCCCTCCGCGTAATAGCAGTGGCGTACGATTAGTTTCGCTACTGTCATCAATTTTGGTATTTTACTATAGTTACAGAATTAGCTTAAAATCATTTAAGGCAGGTATACGGATGGATATATTTTTTATTCGTCTACTCTCCAATAGATGGCGCTGCATTGTTTTTCAACAAAGCCAAAACAATACGTTAATATTAGATATAATAAACTATACCAATAAATAATCTGTTCATTTAAAAATGGGGTGACTTTTAACCCCCGTCACGGAAATTTAAGTTTCTTGATCTTTGAAGATTCGTTGCCAATGAATGAATGAATGAATGAATGTTTATTCGCCATTACAATATTAATAATAATTTTACAATATTAACATTGATATTATTACAGCTGTATCCTGTATCTCATACCGTCATACCAGGTACTCATCCAAATTACATAATATTAATTTCTACATTATTTTAAACAACTTTTGATGAGACAATTTTCGGCAAATCTCAAAATTTTTAAGCTTTTGGGTTTTTTATATTTGGTATATATCTTCACCTGTTTTTTGGTATTTGATATAGTATGCGAGCGTTTTTAAAGGGAATTTGGGATATTTACAAAAAATAAGTATATTATGTATGTACGCAAAGTGGTTCTTGTGCATATAACCTGGGTTTTTTTAATCTCACGTGTTGTGGAAAGCGTTAATCAGCGTAATTGATTAGAAGATTATTTATCAGATTGTTTTGTTCTGAAAGGAGCTGTGTCAATGTATAATTGACTAATATTTTCGGTAAACTGAAGCTGTAGCACCTTTCCGTTAAAAAATGTTTCAGCTTTCTTATATATGATTTGACTTAAAAAGGTGTTAGTTTCACAATATACCATACTTAGACAAAGCCAAGAGTAAAAAACTATCCTTTGGATTGAGTAGAATTAGCAGTGTTGTCAGCCTTAGCATGGGCACCTTATTAACGAAGCGTTTCTAACAGAAAAATGTACTTCAAAAAATTATCGCAAGTCGTACGAGCCAAAGGCGAGGTTCCCTATTGTTATTGTTTAAAATAACAAAAAGACCTGAAACGTCATTATAATGCTTAAAAACCTTCTAGACACATTTAAATTATCTTTGAATATAAAAAACTCATTACATTGGCTTCTCCATAACAATGGCTAATAGACCAGCATTTAATCAAATTACGCCTGATAATATAGTTGAGCCTTTGAAAGAAGTAAATGAAATTAAATATTTGGGGGTTGTTGTTCATCAGCACTTGTAGTGGGACCAGCATATATGCTGTACTTGAGAAAAAAATAGAGCTTGATGATTTACAAAGCACCTGTGGTGCCCCTTTTGGTATATGGCATATTTGTGTGGGGTGGGATGTACGGTTCAAATCTTGGGCAGTGATGCAGAACCTTATTGTAAGGATTATTCTAAAAAAACCCTAGATTATATTCCACTATGCAAGAAATTAACAATATAAAAATCTTATAAATATATCCTTGCAGCAATTAAATACAAATTAAGTGTCCCATAATTATATCTTGCACCTAAATTTTGCAATTTGATTCCTTCTAATATCAGGAACATTGAAAATAATAAAAAGTTTAATGTTTCGTTTAATATGATGTGTTGAGAAAATCGTGAACAATTTATGCGTTTAAGTTGCTTTGAGGTAGAATGATCTGTCTATTTGTTTCTTTTCTTTTTTTGTGATCAACTTGCGATACGTTTTTACTGATGTTCTAATGTTTACGTGAATGCCGAAGAGAGATTGGGTGGTGGAAAAAGGCCTGAGTAAATTCCAACCAATGACGACGCAGAAAAAAAAGCGGCACCGGCGTACTACATGCTGCGGGCTAACGCGTCGCACTTCAGTTCTCGGTTAGCGTTTGGGGAGCGTGGTCCGACGAGCCCTCCGTACAACGCTCCGCTTCTGTTCCATTCGTCGTTTGCCGGGAAGTCTTTGTCGGCGATATTCCGCAGTGTCGCGATTGTGGTGTGAGTGATTGTGTGTGAAAATGTGTTGTGGTTGTTCATAAAAGGCGAGAGGAGTATTTTCACGTTGGATATTGACCATGCTTCCGATCTTCCTGGACCGAATGTCTTCACAGCAGACTCGAGTAAGTTAAGCATAGTCATCTACTTCTGTGTTAGCTTTGAGCTCGTATTGTCAAGATTGAGTTATTTTGTTGTGGTCAAAAGTCATTAGCAATTTTTCTCTAAAGTTATGTTAGAAACGATTAAAGTTCTGAGAAACCTTAAAAATATCGATCTTCAATGGTTTAAAACGCGGGCTAAAATTATCGTCTAGTTGCCAAGCGTCTAAGTTAAATTTCGCACATTTTCCTTCAAAACTCCGAGGAGTATTTTAAGATTAGTATATCTTGAAGTATTATTACTTAATCGTTTGCAACGCGAGGCGCTAATGCGCGTTATTATTATTATCAATGAAATAGCAGCATTTCAAAAATACGCCAAGTAGGAGAAGGTTTGAAGTTTGAGTAACATGAGAGAATATTTTTAGGGGTTTTCAGATATTCAATCGCTTATAACTCGAAAACGACCCTTTCAGAATGAAACAATTTTTATTCACAATGATCCGAAGAAACTAAAAACACTTTGTACGGGCCAAAAAGATGTTTTTTTGTAGTTTGTAATTGTTTACTCTTTGCAGCGAGTTACCTCCCGGCAACATCATGATTCATTCAAAAATCGAGATGGAAAATTTATCTCACGAATTTTTTCGCCTCGTCTATAGTAAACGTAAATACATAATAAGTAGCACACTATGTACAAAAACTTGCAAGACAGTGAGATTAATGCACGTAAATACCGATTGTGTTACGTGTTCATATTCTCGTATATAAAGTTTTTTGTAAGAAATAAATACCTTCATACAATCGATATTTTTAAAAGGATGAATTTTGAAGATTTGCCATCCATTGCACTATATTCATGTTGTATCTGGGCTTGCATCCACTAAGTAGCAGCAAAAGTGCGAACTAAAGAAAGGGAGTTCTTTGCCAAAGTCATATAGGACTTTATTTATTATTGGCAGCAAGCCAGCAAGCCCAAAATTCCAGATCTTTATTTTCAAATATTCTGGCAATATTATACATCACTCTTTAATTCTCTGAGTGGGAGTTTTTTTTGAAGTATGTTCATTAAAAAATCAGGGACTAATTCTTTGCCGTTAAATTGCTTTCCTTTAGAAAGTACAGGGTGAATAAGAATTTTGAAAACGTAACGTGTCGCAAGTGTAGGCCGATAAATACTTTAATCTTAATATACGGGGTGTCCCAAAAATAACACGCCAAAGTGACGTGGGAACTAGATTGGCATAATGCTACCACCGAACAATGAATGTGAGAGCGAGATAGTCAATGACATGTTTAGGTCGTTTCATTCCGTAGTGATTTGGTGACAAAAAACTTGGGGTTATTCAATTGTTAGTAGAGAGAACCTACAAATGTTATACTATTTTTAAAAGAGCATTACACATTGAAACAAAATGTAACAATTTATTTTTTTGGCATAGCGTGCTTGTTTTCAATGAAATGAATACCGGTTATCTCTATTAATGACAGCTCAGGAAAAAATCATAAGTTATAAGTTCTTTTTAGCCATAGGCAGAAAGGGAGCAAAATATAGTGATGAAAAAACAAAGTGTCAATATTTCGAAAACTAGGAAACTTTTACTAAGGTCATGTTGATTTTACCTGATTGATCTGAAGCCAATCTACCTTCCATGTCACTCTGGTGTGTTATTTCTGGGACACCCTGTATTAGTGTTATCACACGATTGTAACAGTTATCTCACGGGAGATCTGCTTTAGTAGACCTTATGCGATATTAGGATAATTAATAAACATTAGTAAAAAAGAGTATGTCATAAAAACTAAGCTGTAAAAACCCAAAGTATTTTTTCCTTATGGAACTACTTGTCTTTATAATTTACACTGTTAAACAATAAAAATATAGCTCTCTGTACGATTGTCGGTGAATAGTTGTTTCTGAAATATTCGGCAATGTTCGTTTTTTTTTGTACAAATAATAATAATAATAATAATAATATTTATTTACTCTAAAATACAGGGAACATGAAACGAGTAAATAAATATAATATATCCATAGGAGGACAACGCCTGTGCATGGATCATATGTATGTTGAATTGCAAAATATAATAAAATAGAGAGAAAAAAGAAATTATTGGTAAGAATGGTAGAGTATTTATTGTGTAGTATTTGAGATTATTTTATTAATTTGATTTCTCCCAATCGTGTTAATAAATTTTTTTAATTTTTTTTTTGAAGCCTAATGTATTGCGTAATTGTTTTAAATTATTTGGTAAATGTTCGTACAATTTTGGAGCTATATACAGGTGACATCGTTTCATTAGGGATTTGTTTGGTTTAGGAACATTTTTTGCGCGTAATTTATATCTGGTTTTATGATTATGTTTAATTATGTCGTGTTCACTAATAGTTTTGTGATAATGAGTGATGATATGTAAGAAGTAAAGTTGTTTAGTATCATATACTTGTGCATCATTATATAAGTCATTAGTTGGGTATAATTTTGATTTGCCTAACATTGCTTTTAAAATTCTTCTTTGAAGTACATCTAAATCGTTAAAGTATGTCGTGCATGCAGCACCCCACACTACTATACCATATGTTATGTGTGGCTCGACTAAAGCTTGATATATTATTCGTAGATAATATTCAGTTAATATACCGGTTAGAAATTTTATTTTATATGCTATGAATCTAATTTTCTTTAGTATGTTATGTGAGAAATATGTACATCCCATCTCAAGTGGGGATCTAGATAAATTCCTAAATATTTTGTATCATTAACTCTATTGATTTTTATATTTTTATCATTTACCTTAAACCGAAGGTGGTTATATTTTGGTAGATGATTAGATAGTGATGAAAATGGTAAAAAATGAGTTTTAGTAAAGTTAATTGTTAATTTTCGGTTATTAAACCACTGAATAATTTTGCAAAAGTCATTTTGGATAATATCTTTTAAGTCGTTCCAATCCTTACCTTTATAGAGTATAGCAGTATCGTCTGCAAAACTGACTATTTTACCAGTACTGTTAATTTTGAATATATCGTTTAAATAAATATTGAATAACAGAGGACCCAAAATTGTACCTTGTGGAACACCACATTTAACAAACATTTCTTTACTATACGAGCTTAATAATTTTACTGATTGCGGTCTATTTGATAAATAATTTTCCATTAAAGTATACATCTTTCCACGAAAACCTATTCTTTCTAAGATTTCCAAAAGTATATTGTGGTTAACTGTGTCAAACGCTTTTCCACAGATACGCATATCGATGGTACTTTTCCATCTATATTTTGGGTTATTTCATCTACTATACTTAATACCCCATCTGTTGTAGATTTGCCCGCTATAAAACCATATTGATTTGAATTCAGAATTTTGAATTTATTAAGAAAATTAATCATTTTATTAAGGAGTAATTTCTCGAAAACTTTAGCTAAACTTGATATAAGTGAAATAGGTCGATAGTTAAGATAAGAACAAGGATACAAATACAGGAAAATAAAGTGATTATTTATTGTCAATTTTTCATTTTCATATTGGCACTGGCTCATCGTTGTAAGGGCAAGGGGTATTTTCCATGTGCGTGCGAACCAGTTTTAATAAAAGGTGTTAATATATTATGCCGCACTATTTCATTTATACAGCGTGTCCCAGAAATAACACGCCAGAGTGACACGGGAGGTAGATCAATCAGATAAAATCGACATGACCTTAGTGATAGCTTTCTAGGTTTCGAGATATTTCCACTTTTTTCAAAAAATCCCTACATTTTGCTTCTTTTTCTCCCGTTATGGCTATAAGCTTTTATAGCATGCGAAAACGCTCGATAGAATAGTTGTACCACCAAAGTGTCAGAGTGATAGATTTAATAACGTAGTACTTGTATACTCATGTTGTTTCTACTTGTTCCAGGGACTAGAGCAGTTTGCTGAAATGTAAGTGCGTTTAGGGTTTTCTTATTGGTGTCGGGTTTACAGGCGTCTACGATGGAGAGCTGCGAGGTTGTAAAACCTACTGGTTGACGACTCTTAATACTGCCCTCGCCAGACAGGGTGCTCAATTTAGATAGTTAGGAATCGCTAAGAAAAGCCGTCAGTTCAGTAGAAAAGTCAGGAAAAATAATAAAACGGTTTGAAACTTTGAAAGTAGAGAGAATTTTAAGAATCATATAAAATTACGCTTTATAAACTCCAAATAAGTGATCGGTAGTAGCGAGGGTAGCTACGGAAATGTTAGGGCATTTTTTTGGGCACTCTGCGTTGTGGGGGCGCATCGAGGGAATACAGATGCCCTTGCGAATGCGGGGGTACATTCGAGGTAAATGTGTTTTCATCAAAAGAACTTCTGTGTAATATATTTTGACAATTTATCAACATTTTTTTCCGTACTCCGAGACGTGCAAGCGATATTTTCCATGTGCGTGCGAAACAGGTTTTATAACAGGAGTCAATATATTAAAGCGAACTATTTTACGTATATTCGTTTGTTTAACCAGATATTCGAAAACATGAGTACAATACAATGTAAGCAATTAAACTACGAAAATAATAGCAGCGTAACTTTTTTTTAGATAGAAGAAAGCTCTATAGCCGTTCGCATGCGGAGACGCTTTTTCTGCCAAACTGTGATAGTGGAAGTTGTAATAACGTAGTACTGCTGTTTATACTTTTTACAGAGACTATAGCAGTTTGCTGAAATGAAAGTGCATTTAGGATTTTCTCCCTCCAGGCATGGTGGCCCTTTTTGGTTTTGCATTCTGCGATGTAGAGGCACAACGAGGGACACAGTCAACTCATCATCAGCGGTAAATACGTTTTTATATTTTATACAGGACTTCTATGTTTTAGGTTTTCACGTACATTTTTCTAAAGTACTATTGGGCTTGGTTATTGCCTTCAACTATCAAACTTCAACGATTGCACTGTGCAAAAGTCCGTCAAGAAGAGGGAAAAGTGAACGAAGGAATTCGTCTGGGTCCATGGCCGAGCTGTTGAACAGGGATCCAGGATTTAAAAGAACACACGATACACTCCAGCTACCGTATTAAAAACAATTATCACTTTTTTGTGAAGAAATGTTACGCGAGACATGTGGTTAATCATTTTCGGAGAGTCTTGGAAAACACATGGCTGACGTAAAATCATCCAGTCTAACTAGTTAAGAAGGTAGTAGTAGCAGCAGTAGTAGTAGTTCTGGTAATACTTAGTAATAGTAGGGCTAGTAGTAGATTATTACGGCCAGCATGCAAGGTGGTTTGTAAAACTTAGGTACTCACTCCAGGTTGTGGCCCCGCGATGGTCTCCAAAACTATATTTATTATTATATACTTTTTAATTATATTTGGTATTCCCTATTTTACTATCAACAGCTGGATAAAACACATTTATTTATTGAGAAAATGTATTTGCAAGTAAAATGTGTTGTGCGCAAGTGTTATTGTTAGTTTGTTTCAGCTTTTAGGAGAGAGTGGGAACATTCCGTATTTCAGGAAGTGTGATGAACTATGATAAATATTGATGACAATGATGTAGTCATTATAATTTTAATTTTAATTCACATTTGGTATTTACTTTTTTTTAGGTTCATATTTTACGAACATATCTATTTTTAGCTAAGATGTGATTGCACATTTCTTATTTTTACGTATTTTACAGAATTGCTGACCTAAAACTTTCAGGTTTTCTTTCAGAATCATAGTCCAAATATTTTTATCGAGATTTGGAGGGAGACACTCCAAATTTTAGGAATGGTACAAGTTATAGACACTCCCGAGCGTGATAAACGTGATATAATGAATATTGATGATAATGGCAGCTGTCCCAAAAAATGTTCTGCCTGGATGAATGTTTCATGGGCATACACGAGTAGAGTGAAGAGGAACAATAAAAGCATGTTAAGAATGATTAAACCCCCCGATTTATTCAGCAATACATGAAGACAGCAATAAAACGAACATCAAAATTTTTACACGGTAAGCATTGGAGAGTACGGCATCAAGAAGGTTGGTTTTTAACTTCACGAACTGTCGAGGGTCTTGGAAACGTTCCCAAGAGATATATTTTCGAAACTTACCCTAAGAAGGCCAAACGCTTTCCACTCAAAACTGTACTTAAAAGTATGATATTTTCCATGAAATACAGATTCAACCTTCTTGATGTTCCAAAATAAGCAGAGGTGTTATTTAAATGTACTTATGTGGACTCTCTTTGCAGATAAATATGTGGATAATAGCAGTATGGTCTACTGTCAATATGTTGATGAAGTTTTACGAAATATTTGCAGCCAAATTCCAAGCAAAAGCTTCTAAAAACGTTCACGATTTCCATACGTTTGAAGAAATTCTGAGACATATTTGGGAAACTAACATAATGACGCCAAAATTTATATTTCTTCATGCCCTTGAAGATGATTGCAGGCTGATACATGCAGAACGAACATCAATTGAAATGATGAAGAGGTATTTTTTATATAATCTTGAACTTATTTATTCTTCATGTTTCACTGACGTCTTACCCGATAAGTCAAGCTTATCAGGAAATACAGGGTATTCGAAAAATAGAGAGAGATATTTCAGGGGGTGATTCCTTGTTTAAAAATATGAAAAAATTTAATTATTTTTTTTTATTAATACCTCAAAAAGCATTTACTCGATTATATTGAAATTTATTGCGTTTTGTTGTATTAAGAGGCTGATTTAGCCCTAAATAGATAAACATTATTAGGTCCAGTGGCGTTCTGGGGGCTCCTTAGCGAATATTATTGGCAAACAAATGTACGCCACTGCCTTTTTTGTAACTGTAATATTTGTTGCTTGATTAAGCATCTGAAAATACAACTTCCTTGCCTTTTGTATTTTTTTCGTATCTGACTTCGTTTTCGTGAGAAAAAAATATAAACCGTTTCATTGCATGTCACTGGACAGAATTGGTTTATTAATTTTTATAAATAATTTTAACAGGAAAGCAGCGGTGTCACAGAAGAAAGCTTTCACCAAATTTTATTTTCCTAACACCTTTATCAGAAAGAAGTGAATTACGAGGGCGTTTTTAAAGTAAGAACCTATTGCGCACGGTGAATATGAAAGGTATTGTAATTTTTGGTGACAACAGCTGTCATGTTTTGCCGTGGCCGAGCTCGAAAAACTGCTGACAGGTGCTGTCTTACTAATTTTTCCATCTAGAAACCATTTGTAATCCAAAATTGCACGTTTGTAACTGGTAGAAATAAAGATGAGGGAAATAGTCGATATGAAAACCACAGGATGTGTATTGCTCAATAAACTAGTCATGATGGGCGTAGAACAGGTGTTTTGGGACCTCACCCATATAATCTAATTTTGTTGTTATTTGGATTTGAAGAATTTCAAGTAGTTGAGTGAAATTAGTCGGATCTTTTCACGTGTGGTTTCATTTTGTAGATCTCATAAATACGTAAAAATTTTATATGAAAAACACGTTTTCTGATTCTTTGTTGTCAAATAAAAAGCTTTCCGACAAAAATTGGTGTACCCATTTTATGCGTCCATGTTTTAAATACCCCCTCGAACAACTTACACCAATAAAACCAGACCTTACAATTATTTCGGACTAGACTAAATAAAGATTTTTTTTCAGCACACATGCGGTTTCGATTGACCAGAGAACTATGGGGGATCATCATGGGTAATATCATGAGTGCATCTAATTTTTTCGAAAAAATCGAAAAAACCCGTTACTAAGTAATATTCTACAAGAAGTACGACTGCTAGTGGCAACTAAAATCCGAACTGAAGATTTTTTGTTGAAATATTACTTTGCATTGTGTTTTATCGATTTTTTTCGCAGGAAAAGAATTAGGTGCCCGAATGGTATTTAACAAGACTATTTCATGACACATTATTATGCATACACATAACTTACAAAACATACTACCATTTTGTAGCGTAATTTTCTGGTGTCCTGATGAAAAAAATTAAAATGCTCATATTTTAGTTTGTGATATTTGTTTGCATTCATAAATAACATTTCTCTGATTACAAAACGGTTCTTACTTAAAAAAAAATAGCCCTCGTATAAACCGTTACTTCAATGCTACTTTTTTTAGGTTAATAACTGTGGATGCTGACGATTTTCGATTGTGCAAATGAACCCAGAATTACGGAACGACTTGATTTTTCTTCACCTGATACAATTGATCTTAGCAGTGACGGTTGAGGTTTTCTAGGGGTTTTCCTCGCCCGAGTGCGAATGCAGTCACTAAAAAACCACGTTCCCCTAATGAATAGAAGATAAAGTGAAAATTGTACTTATCCTATTTAATGACTATGTAATTTGAGATCAAATAGTCATTAAATATATTTATATAATAAAATTGTTTTTTTTTTCACTTTCACTTTTTCACTATGCATAGGCAAAAAAGTTTTCATCCTATACAAAACCATATATAAAACTAAGAATTTATAAAAGTATTTAGTCATAACGTTCTGTCACATAAAAGCCGGGTCTGCTCAGTATGGGAATTCATAGCACAGGTTCACAAAAAATTAATTCAGCGATAGAAATGAACTTGCAAAAGATTTCGATACTTGTCATTACTCAACGAATAAAAACACTTTGAACTTGTAAAACTGTCTGGTATTTGCAAGTAATTTGAACACAACGCCGTGGCAACACTGTTGATGAAGTGAGGAGTCAGTAAGTCAGTATCCATCAGACGTCGTGTGGCGTCTAGGTTAACCTAGTTTATAAACAAACCGCATTTGAAAAACTGAAACTGGCATATTCGCATATCGATTTGATATGAGCATCATCTTCCGCGAGCGTACTCAGCACGTCGCCGTCGTCATCGATGTTTCTTTCCAGCTGCATATACAGGGTGTTCATTTGAAAACTTCCCACCACGGATTTATCGAAAAAAGATTTGTCAATAGGGACAACTTTTTAAGCAAAAACTAACTACTTCACCTTCGCCAACCTCCTCCCCCCTCCCCAGGGTGATTTCCTTGAAAATTTTAAATCACAAGGGGTATCGAGTAATATCTTGCTTGAAAGGTCTTTCGAAGTTCTTTATTTTGACGTTTGATTTTTTAAAATCAATCGATTCGTTTTCGAGAAAATTAAAAAAACCTTTATTTTTCTTCATTTGTTCAGATAGAAAACAAAAACACACAAAAATATAACTTTTTATTTCAATAAGAGTTCAAAATGTTGCCCGTTAGGGTTTGCCAAATCTACAATTCGTTTTTAATTTAAAACGGTAACTACCAGCAACTGATTTTTTCCGCATTCTCTTCATCAACACATACAGGGTGACTTTGAAGATGAGTCATTAATTTTCAGATAATGATTGTAGAAGGAAGATAAACCAAAATATGTGTGTAAAAATAAAAAAAAAATGTTACCTTGTTTTATAAAGTATCCTCCCGACAAGTATTTCAGTGCGGACCTGTATTTGATCGTGCGGTCTTGGAGCACCGGCATGCCCTCCCCTGTGAGGACTTAAGTCACCTGATTCTCGAGCCCTTTGTACTTTGTACTACATTAACAAAGGCACGAGGAGGCTGGTTGCACTCGATTGGGAAACCGATTCGCATAAATCCGTAAATAAGAATCATGTCCACAAGTTCAGCATTTTCGTAAACATGTGCCATTTCGTTTGAGCCACGCAACAAACACCACTATTCACTCACGCGTTACCGACTGACACATTGACTGACATCGTGATAAACGTTTCAAATTCTTTCGCTTTTTTGTTTCCGATGCGATGAACTGATAAGGCGGATTATATCCGTTGTTGCCAAACACGAGCACATAATATTATTATTGAGACAGGGCGGTACTCAAACCTCTAAAGGGCTATAACTTTGTTAATTTAATTTTACTAGAAAAATGTTAAAGGAAAAAACATTTCTTTTGATCAGATCTACTCACTGTTAAAATAAATGACTCAACTTCGAAGTCACCCTGTATATCCTGGGCGAACTGTATTTATTGTTGTACCTGTTTAGTTATTTTTTGCTAAGGAAAAGAAGGAATTCAATTTGCTGTCAGTTACCTTTGTGACATTTTTGGGATAGTGAAAATTAGGTAATTTATTAATTCAGATTTTACATCCAAAATGCGATCGTTCATGTATTATTTATGTTTAAGTCTTCTAAAATAGCCCTTACTGTCCGTTCATGGTTGTTCACAAAAAAACTGAAAACACTAAGAACGTACACTACTCAAAAAAATTAAGGAAGCAAGAAAAAAATTAAATTTTCGGGCTTCAAAAATCGGTTTCTCCGGACCTTTTGGTCGAAGTTTGAAAGAAATCAAACGAGCAAAATTTTTGTATCAAAACATCCTGTAATCTGGTTGAAAATGGAATAATCATTTTTCATCTTCTGTTGTCACTATTGGATCTGTAACACCTTCAATTTTGAAAATAGCAATTAGAAAAATGTTGTCTATCCACGGAATATTAAAAAAAAAATTAACCAGGGGCGGATCTAGAAAATATTCAGCCGAAATGAAAAGGATCCGGCAATGAATTGGCATCATTTTCAAACTTTAAGCAATCAATCCGGAGAAACCGTACAATGGATCGATCTGTCGTCATTATTAGTTGTACATTGAGCTACAAAAAAGCAGTAAAATAATTCTCTAGAGTCTAGAGCATCATGCGATGCATATAATTGTATACGCTTCTTACAAACTTTTGGTTGCATTTCTATATTTTTTTTCATTGTATTTTTCAATTTTTCGTACGATGTACGATACTAAGTGTAGGATAATAGCTGAATGTACGATAATTTTGCGGATGAGCTTTTTACTAACAGATCTTGAATCAATCTAACAACTATGTTCAATTAACACCAGCAAGCAGCTGTCATTCTGCCGCTTGTAGACAAGCGCGCGTACCCCACTCTGTATAATGGGTTGCCTAGGATTACGCGGACTATCTCGGCACGGTAAAAATTGCCGCCCATCAGTTCTCACGTTCTATGTATTGACAATTGACATGAGGCGCATATTTTTATTTACCCATGAGCACTAGGTGAAATGAATGCGACGTCTCCCGTTTTTATGAGTTTAAATCAAAGGATCGTTTTGTTATTTTCGATATTTAACCGGTTTCAATTCAATAACGATAATATGTCGGATTATAGACAGCAAGCTTATAGAACAGAGTGGGAAACAAAATAGCCCTCCCTCGAGGCGGAGATTTTCCTTCATCATTTTGACGAGTTTGTACGATAATTCCCTGCGACGAATCGGGTAACTCTGATTTACGTTGTTCTGTCAATTGTCAGTTCTGTGTTTCTAATTTAACGCTTCATGTTAAGCGTTACTTTTGGAGATTTTGTAAACAAAATGGGATTAATTCCGTATTTTTACAGTGTTACAAATATCTAATTTCCGGTTTAAAAGGAAGAATCCATCGAGATATTTATGTAAATTATATCTATAATGTCGAGTGGTCGTGTGGAGAACGAAACTGAGCTAACCTCAACTGTGGGAGATGTCATGTCAATGCCCAGCAAAGAGGAAAAAGGTGATACCAGCGATGCTATGCCCTCTTCATCAACGGATGCATCAACTGCATCTACAAAACCTCATTTAGGTACTTGAAACATTGATAGCGGTTCTGTATGCAAGGTTTTATCGAACCCATTATCTATATTATTTGCTGCTTCTGTAGTGATTGAGGTAGTTTACCAGGGATGTCTTTTAAGTTTTGCATATGGAAATAAAACAACACGGTAGGTAGTTTTAAATGACTTTATTGTTTTTCGAAGTATTCTCCAGATTAATACACATCTGCATGCGCTCGAACCAATTTTCGAAGCACTTATTCCACTCGTTTGCTGGTAGATCCAAAACGGCATTTTTGAATGTGTCAACTGCTTCCAGTGACCACTCAGTCTGTTTATAATTTTCGGGAAAGTAAAGAAATCCTTAGGACTTAGATCGGGACTATATGGAGGATGGTCCAATAATTCCACGTTTTCTTCCATTAAATACTGCCTTGTTTTTTGGGCTGTGTGCAAGCTTGCATTGTCTTGGTGGAGGATGATTCTTCTTTCGAGGTTGATTTTTCGAAGCTCGGTGATGACTTTTGGCAAACAAATGGTGGTATACCCATCGGCAGTAACAGTTCTTTGCTCATTAAGAGGAATTGTTGCAATATGACCAGCTTTTGATACAAATGTCGCGACCACCTTTTTCAAAACACTTCGAGAATGGATGACTTTTGTTGGCTTTTCTTCACCTTGGAACACCCAAACAGCCGACTGTCATTCTTCCACGATTCATCACCACTAACAATGCTGTACACATTTGTTGAGTCTCTGCAATTGAAATGGTCAAGCGTTTTTTGACACCAATTAACGCAGGCTGCTTTCTGCTCTTCCGTCAACAGGTGGGGTATCCAACGAGAAACTAATTTTCTTACTCCTAATTCTTCATGCACAGCACAGCATCGACGTTTTCTTGGGTGACTGCCATTTTTGGTGCACCCACCCTGGGATCGTCGCTAAGACTCACCGTCCACGTTTGAATTCTCCATACCAATGGGAAATTGTCGACTGATGTGGCGCTTCGTTGCCGAAAACAGACAGTAACTCAACAAGGCATTCTTGTTGCGATAATTGTCTCTGAAAGTTGTAATAAATTATGGCGCGAAAATGTTCTCGGTTGAGTTCCATTTTTCTAATGACTTGGTAACACTTAAAAATTCACTATAGTGAGAACACTGCACATATTGTTGTGAAACTTTGAATTTAAGTTTACTAAAGAGTGAGGGTAAGATTTAGTAGTGACGTTCGATCCGCGCGGCCTATGATTCTATATGCAAAACTTAAGAGACATCCCTCGTAAGTTGAATAACGGAATGCTACACGTATGAAATTGTTTTTTCGTATATCTGTTCAAAGTACAGTTTTCACCATCATAAGGTTTTTGTAACATCTGAAACTTACCCTGTTGTTTTGCTAGCTGTCCAATTAACCACAGCTTAACATGGATATTTTTAAGGTTTTTGTAGCAACATTCTTTTTGCCCTTATTGACCATTCCCATTTCTTGTAAGCATTTTAAATGGAATTGAAGGAGATGAGGAATGTTTCATTTTGTGTGGAATATTCTTGCAAATTAATATTCATTTAATCTATAGAGCTGTTTAAATCAGACTGAAACATAATATTTAAGCTTAGGTTAGTTTCACAAGATCAAAATTAAAGGTAACCCTCAGATAGTGTGCTAGAAGTGCATCATTTATAGCTAGGTTTTTCTGTGCAATTTTACTCATGTCCCAGACGAGCATGCTTTCTCCCTTTTTGGGACTGAGGGGTTCATATACACAGTCTAATTTTGTATTGTTTCCCTCAAAATAACTTCCTTCCAAAGCCACACAGTGCTGGAGATGGTTCTTCCTCTCCTCATAGCACTGCTGGAACTCTGATACTGGAATAGCCTTCACCTGGTCAGTTACAGTCATTTGAATGTTTTCGACTATCCAAAAATGGATTCCCTTGAGGTGATATTTCAACTTCGGGAAGAGAAAAAAAATCACAAGGACTCAAGTCAGGTGAATAAGGAGGCTGATGAGTCACATGAATGTATTTACTGACCAAAAACTAATTTTTTGACATTTCTGTGTGACCAGCAGCATTACCGTGATGCAGCATCCAGTTGTTCTTGATCTGATGCATGGTGTGAGTCAAATTTAACTCTTCCCCAATCATTCTGACTGTCACCCAATGATCTGAATGCACAAGAGCCTTTATTCAGTCGATATTTTCATTGGCTCTTGAAGATAAAGGCATTCTCCTATGTGGTTCATCATCAATCAACTGTTTCCCCCTGAAAATGCCCCAAAACACTGAAACGCCTAGTCTTTTGGCACAACATAGGCCTGCTGAAGTTTAATAAGAGTTTCCATTACACTTGTCTGAAACAAAATATTGCTTCAAATTGATGTTAGGTACTCATTTTTAGAACACAATAGGAAAAACTGTTTCACAAACAAAATCATTACCAAATGACTTGTGCTGAAGGCGGATCACATGTTCCCCTGTCTCCCCTAAAAACGCTGCGCCTCCATACACAACTTTTTATCTCTTGAGTTCTTTCATATCTTGCTTCGTTTGCGGGATAAACAATAAAAAGCACTTTATTGCATGTATTTGTATTACATGAAAGTTGTCTTTTGAAAAATGCTATTTTAAAACTACACTTATCTTAAACTCTTATTTCAATGAAAACATCTACCAGTAAATAACACGATACATACAGTAAAGGACAAAAGTATATACACAAATTAATATTGTGCTGTATTTCTTTTTTAACTTGTTTTAATAATACGCCAACCTGTATACATAAATCATTATAGCATATACTCACTTATACATAAATAAATTCATTAGACTCCCTTCAATAAAAAATAATTGAAAAAACTGGAACTATGAAGGACAAAAATATATAGACAAAGCAAAACAATTATAGAAAAAAGTAGCAAAGTTATTGAATTATAGAAAACCAACCATGTTTGTGTTAATATTTTGTAGCATAACCATTATTATCAATCACTGCCTGGCATCATCTCGGCATAGATTGTAGAAGTTTCTTGATATAAGATTCATCAATCTGTCTCCACTTTTGCTCTAAAGCGGCAAAAAGCTCATCCTTGTTTGAATAATTTTTATCTTGTATTTGCTTAGCTAAGTATTCCCATAGATTTTCAATGGGGTTTATATCGGGAGACTGTGAATGCGATTTGAGAACTGCTATTTTTTCATCTAGAACGAATTTCTTTGCAAGATTTGAAGTGTGCTTTGGGTCATTATCTTGCTGGAAGATTGATCTTAAGGGCATATTGTCTTCCATATAGGGTAACATGACATGATTTAGTATGTCTGTGTATACAAACTTCTACGTAAAGGTCCCATCCCAAACCCCGAAAAGCACCCCCAAACCATAACAGACGCGCCTTCATGTTTGACAGTGGGCAAAGTGTACTTGGGGTTCAATCTTTGTCCACTATGACATCTAACGTAATGAACACTATCTGATCCAAACATATTGAACTTGGATTCGTCACTGAAACACCCTCTTCCAGTCACGGATGCTCCAGTCAAGATGCAACCGTGCAAATTGTAATCGGTCCTTACGGTTTTTCCTCGAGATTAGCGGCTTCTTTCTCGGGCAACTTCAAATCATTTAATCTTCTACTTATAGTTTTCATAGAAACACTGACAATTCCTTTTGTCTCGATTTCGGCTTTTATTTGTCTTGGGGTTTTAAACGGATCTTTGGACAAAATTACTTTTATTAATCTAACTGATCTAGCATTTAGTTTTCTAGACCGACCACTTCTCTTAGAGGCTTCCAAGATACCTTTTTGTTTATATTTGTTCAATATTGCCCAAACTGCTTTATGCTTCAGTTTCAAATTTTTGGCAATGTCGACTTGACGTTGACCATCTTTGTATAACTCAATGATCTTAGTTTTCACATTGAAAGGCATGGTCTTAAAATCACTCAACTGATTCCACAATACTTGATGAACACAAACTAATCCTCTTCTGACACAAAAATGTACTAAACTAATGTCGAAAAGAATTTGTCTACATAAAAAAGTGCTTATATTCAGACTTGTATTGTGTTCATTGCAGATAATGTAAAAAGAAGGAATTTAGTTTTTCTACTAATAACGCATTTGTTTATGGAGCAATGAAGTATGAATTCGTTTTCTAAAGGCATTTAGATAAATATTTATATTTGTCTTATATACTTTTGTCCATTACTGTATATAATAGTTGCTGAAAATGCCCTCCTTCAACCTCAGTGCAAGCATTAGGTCGTCTTAACATTGATTTCCGAACTCGTTGAAATATTTCCTGCATATGTCTTGGGCGGTAGTTTTAAAGTTTTATTATTGTCCCAGGGACATGCAATAAGTGCTTTTTATCTTTTATCTCGAAAACGAAGCGAGATATGAAACTTAGGAGACAAAAAAGCTGTGCTTAAATTGAAAAAAATAAAGTTGGTGGCACACAAATTTTTTGCCAAAGATATTGGTTAGAGTGCTTTCCGGGACGCCACTGGACTTAATAATTTCAATCTAATCGGGGCTAAGTTAGCCCCTTACTGCCCTTACTACCACTGTTAAATTTAAAAAAAATTGAGTAAAGGTTTATCAAGATATTTAAGAAAAACCGATTTTTAAAAAAGTTTGACCCCGTGACCTCCTGAAGATTGGCCAAAAAATTATCTAGCGAAGATTGATACTTGGTGACTGATTAAATTTTTTTTCTGAGAATACACTTGGCCTCATAGAGAAGATAGCTGGAAAAACTTGATAGCAATATTTTTCCTAATGGTGCCGCCGTTTTTGCCTTGTCTAAACCCTATAATTTATTCTTGGTTATTATTTTCTATAGATAAACCGTAAAACTTACTATATATAATCAAATTAAAATGTTCATGCAAGCAAAGTAACATAACCTATTTTTTCCAGTAACTGATGATCCGTGCAGCAGCACTTGTTCAGAACTTGATCAGATTAAAACTGCAATCTCCCAGATGAGTAGCGGAATTCCACCAGAAGACTTGCTGGATATAAACATCACTAATATCCCCAATGTAAAATAACAGAAGACGTTGAAGATTTGGTGCATGACTTGGAAAGTCTGCTAGAAGGTCCTTTTCCAGATGCTCAATCTGAAGCAAAAAATACCCAGCAAGTGAAAAAATTGACTAAAGAAACGAAAAGTAGCAAAGGAACAGGAGGAGATAAGATTCAATCATCAGATAACACCAGTCCTCTAAATGATTTTGAAACCATTGAAAAAATTGCAGAGGCAATTGAAAATACAAAACCAAAACGGGTCGAGCCTTTACAAAAAGCTTCTGGATCAGTTGACCAAACTGCAGCCATAGTCACAGAACAAAAGCAAGTAGTGAGTACGGATGTTGCAGAATTTGGTGAAAAAGATGGAGACAGTTCTGACACCACTATTAAAGAGGCTGACATACAGCAAGGAAGTCTTGAACAACATATTGAGGCAACTACTTCATCAGAAAATATTGATGCTGACGATGGAAAATGTGCAGGTGAAGGGTCTGGAGTGCATGTCGAAAATCAAACTACAGGTTTACAAAATGAGGAAATATCATCAGACGCACAACACGACACTGAAGGTGCAAATAATGTAATTGCAACTGAATTATCTCTTGATACTCCAAAGGAAGTTGATGCAGTTCAAATTGAGGATGAAAAGAGTGACTTATCTACTGAGGTTGAAGTCAATCAAGTTCATGCTGATGTCACTGTAGAACCACTGGTAGAAGATGTACCAGCTGTTGACGAAACAGACAGAGTTGAACAGCCGGGAAAAGTATCTACAGGAGATGATATTCCTGTTGTTGATGTCATTGTAAAAGTTTCTACGAATTGTGAAGGTCAAACAGAAATGCCCATTGATGGTGCAACCACTACCATTGATAGTAATGCGGAATCAAGTGCGAAGGACGGCAATGTAGTTGAAATATCTGCAACTGAAGAGGTTCCTGAAGATGAAAGAAAAGAATTGTCTATACCAGATCAGAATATTGGAGAACATGCCGCAGAAGATGAAGAAAAAAGTGATAATCCAGTCATTGAGCCGGTGAATGATGAAGTAACAATTGTTGAAACACCCGATGAGTCGCCTGAGGATATTGCTGAGGTACCTGCACAAGAAATTACTGTTGATGCAGAAACTTCAACTGCAAATGAAGAAAATGTTCGCACAGTAAATGATTCAACTGATACCGTGGAGAAGACAACTGTAGAAAGTGTAGATCCACAATCAGACTTGACGAACACTAAACAAATCCCAAAGGAGCCCTCTGCTTGTGAAGAAAGTGCTGAAGAAGTTGCACCGGGTAAAATAATAGCGTATGATGAGGCACATGATAATGCAGCTACAGAAGCAGATGTTGCAATTGAAAATCAAACAGCAATTGAGCCAGTTGAAGCTGAGACGGAGCTAGTTGAAATTACTGAGGAACCTGAAGAGACTGAGGCAACTCAAAATGAGACAGCAAGTGAGATAGTTGAAGCTAAAGATACAGAGGTAGCTATTGAAGAGCCAAAAGAGAGTGAGACAACTGAGAATGCAGTTGCAGTTGAAATTGAAGAGATAGCTGAAATTATTGAAGAGCCAGATAAGGTTGAGGCATCTCAAAATGAAACAGCAGTTGATACAGTCGCAGTCGATACTGAAGAGACAAGCGTAGTTGGAATTGTTGAAGAACCAAAAGAGAGTGAGCCAAGTCAAGATGAATCAGCAATCGAAGCAGCTGCAGTTGAAACTGAAGAAACAGAGGTAGTTGAAGTTACTGAGGAGCTAAAGGAGGACGAAGAACTTCCAATATCTAGTTCAAGTGAATTGACAGAAACTATCGAGTCTGCTAAAAACATTCCTGTAGTTGAAACTACTAATGAGGATAATGTAGAATCTGTACCAGATAAATCTGAGCCTACCAAGGAAATGGCAAACATACAGGCAGAAGATCTAAAAGATGAGAGGATTGATAGTGCAAAAGAATGTGATATCCAAGGTGATGTGATCGAAGAAATCAACGATTGCACATCATCTGTCGCAGAGGCAGACCCTGCAGTGTCTGCGAACGAAAGTGAAAATAATTTGACAGAAGCGACATCCATTCCAGAGGAAGCTGTTTCCGAAGACTGTTGCATTGGAAATGTTGAGGAATCTGTCAAGCAAACCACGGAGGTCCCAAATGAATGCTCAAGTAGAGGTGTGGAAGAAGTTGCGGAACAGCCATCACCAGGTGTTGACGTCAAGGCAGCTATATATGAAGAAACTGAAGCTGCTGTTGATTCATTGGGGGCATTGATTGAAGAAACTATCCGGGATACATCAAATGCTCCAGATGAAAGTATTGATGATGCAAAAGGTGTTGAAGATTTAGAACAAGGTTCTGATGCAGTTGCTTTAGACCCTGAAGACGAAACAGAAGCTGCTGTCAAATCTCTGGGTCTATGTGTTAATGAACCTGTTGAAGCTCCACCTTCTATGCCTATCCAAGAAATTGACATAAGTCCTGAATATGAAGAAACAGAAGCAGCAGTCGCAGCGTTAACAAGCAACGAACTCCCATATAGCGATTCACCAGAAGTCTTACAAGAACCTGTTGTTTATTCTGAAGAAACGGAAATGACATCTGTGGATGACACTACTAAAACTCATGACAGCGAACCTAGAATAACTGAAGAAATGATTGAGAATCAGGCGACTGCAAGTGCTGTCGATGAAGTTGAAAGTGATGTTACATCTGATCAGATCGGACCTATAGTATCTAGCATATCAGCTGCAGAAGAGGCTATTAACGCAGAAGAATCAAGAGCTGCTGTAGAAGCTGTTATGAGCATTGCTAATGAGACATATGATAGCAGCTCACAAAGTACCATATCTAAGCCTGTTGAAGTATCCGACGATGAGACTTATGGAAATAAAGGAGAAAACCCCGATGAAGCGATACCAACTGAGATAACTACAGAGGAAGAAACGCCTGGGATCGACGCCGTCACATCATCTGTTGAAAACACCGATGTTGAAATGATTTCAATACCTATTCCAGATTACAAATCACCAAAATCCGTTGGTGGCGCAACAGCCATGTCACATGAATCTGAAGAAGAGATGGAAGCCCTAGCTTTGGAACCTTCACCTCTTGCTCCAATTGAGGAAGTTGAAGAACCGGAGGAGAAAGAATCTCAAGAGAAGAACGAAGCATTACATGTTGATATGCAACAAAGTGCAAAAAAGCCACCAGAAATAGAAGCATTCGAAAAGGCTGCTGAAAGTACCATTGAGGGTAGTAAGGCCGAAGCTGAAGCCGCAGAGCTTAAAGCTAATGAAGCAAATATTGAGGCCGTGACAGATTCGGATGTGGTACAAGTGGTTGAGAATAATGTTTCTGATAAAGAAGTTATTGAGGAAATTAAGAGCACAGATCTATCAAAAGAAGCAACCGCAGCTGCAGAGACAAATAGTATCGAAAAAGAAAGTATAGAGAATGTTAATTTACTTCAAACTGTGGAAGCAGAGAGCTCCGAAAAAATCACAAATAAAGACAAAGAGCATAAGAAAGCTATTGAGAGACCTAGGAGAGGTAAGAGAGCGACACCAGATTCCAAACTGGAAGAATTGAGTATCAATGTTGATCTTCCCGACAAAGAAAAACCGTATAGCCCAAAGGTGACCATTAAACCAATCAAAGTGCCTGATGAAGAAATCAGTACGACTAGCAATGCGGATTCAGAAGTAGGAAAAGGATGTCTTAAAATGACCATCACAAAACAGTCTGACAATACCCATTCTATTCTGAAAATTTGTGATTCTGATGCTACTGGTAGTGAAGCAGTACATGAAGAGGGTCATATTCCGAAGCTTAGAATAAAATCCGTATTGCCATCTGCTGAGCAACATAGTCCAAAGTCTAAGAATAAACAGCCGCATTCACCAACAGGATCTTCGCAGAAATCCAGCAACCCACGGGTCACTATCAAGCCTGTAGTGAAACCGGAAGTAGGTCCTCTGAAAATCAAGATTGGCCTGAAGGGAGACGAGAGTACAAAAAAGGCGAGTCCAAAAATGAAGGCTGCCACAGATGAAGATAGTGCGCCGAGCCCTAAGAAAGCAAAATCTGCTGCTAAGAGCGTTGAAGAGCCTGAGCAACACCATAGTCCTAGGATTACGATTAAGCCTATACCTAAACCGGAAGTAGAAGGAACAAAGTTGAGATTGAAAATGCATGAAGAGGACGAACAGACTCAAGGACGATCTAGTCCGAAAATTACTATAAAACCTATAGTGAAGCCTCAAGAATCTGAAGAAGTTCACGATGAAGATGACGGCTCGAAAGAGAGAATAGTGCTGAAGATCAACAAAGGAAATCTACCAACCAAAGATGAAAAATCCGAGAAGTTAGCAAAGATCACTTTGAAGCTGTCTAAAGAGGGCAGCGCCCATATTGTACAGCAACCAGAGGAAAATCAAAAGCGTCCGATCGACGAGTCTGTCGTGGAGAAAAACAAGAGGCAAAAGACGGAACCAGCAATGGAGACTCGATCCAGGCACAAAGGACCAGACATGCCCGTCGAATCATCTAGATCCAACCCTACAAAACACATAGACCCAACAGAGTCTCCCATAGAAGCGAAGAGGTCGAAGTTGAGTCCGTCTCCAGCAAGAGACTCTAGGTCAAAGGAAGTACTCCCACATGATGATGTCAAGGTCATCGAGGAGCGTATTGAGTCACCAATTGTGATAAGTGAGGATTCCAGATCTCAAGATAGTGGTAGCTGCATACTGATAGAAGACACCGCTAGCGAGCACAGTCAAAGGGGTCTCACGCCAGATAGCGAGAGGAAGATCGAGGCTGTGATAGTAGACAGCTCCGAGATCAACCCGCCTGAGACTAAAAAGAGGGGCCGGCCAAGAAAGGTAAGTTCAATCCTTCCAGATTTTGATTGTTTAGCTCATTGATTCCCAAAGTGGTCTATATCGACCCCTAGGGGTCTATGACAACCTGCAAGGGGTCTACGTCAGCGAAAAAAAATTTGGGGTCCATGAAATGAATATGGGGGTCCACGATAGTGGATCTCAACACATGCACTGATACTACCTATTTACTTACATCATACTATCTTATAATATCAAAACATATACATTATTTATAAAAGTACCTATGAAGTAAAAAATTTATTATATATGTTTATAAAATTGTGTAAGTTGTAGGATGTTGGTATTCGCTTTGTGGTCGCAATACATTTTGAACTTGTAAAAACCTGAGAGTCGCAGTCTCAGAGCTTCGCTACCTTGCACTGACTTGTTCAATTCGTCACTCTATAAATACGAATGTGGGACAAATACGTTTATTCGTTTCCTGAATCTTGAAAAGGAAAGTGCTAAGAAAATATTTTAAAAAATATAAACAGATAGTATATCACACAAATTATAGTGAGTCAGTGTTATTTTGTTTGAGAGTGCTGGAGAAAAGTAAGTACATTATTTTTTATTAAATTTTAGTTTTGTACTCGTAGTTAGCAAAGATAGATAAATTACGCCAATCATGACTTTAGTTATTAGTAGTTAAATATTCAATCACGCAAAATTACACGAGTACTCCTCAATAGTTTCTATTTGAAAGTTTTAACAATCGGTAATATAATTACAGTGCAATCTCCGTAATTCGAGAGAATTGTTGGAAGATGTTCGAATTATGGAATGTTTTCGGAAAAATCAAAAAATATTTTTAATATACAGCTGCTGGATTTTCTGTCTTATTTAAATAATTTAATTTTGCTCACAGATGACTGATGCATGTCCGAATCTAAAAAGAAATGTAGACAGTACAGTGTTGATTATTTGAGATTTGGCTTCATTCCATCATTGCCGGACAAACAATCGCCTATGTGCCTTTTATGCAACAAAGTTTTGGGCAATGACGCTATGAAACCATCTAACCTGCAAGATCATCTGAGAAGATGCCACCATAAAACAGAGAAAGATTGGAAATACTTTCAAACACTCAAAGATAAATTTCAGAAGAGACCTACACTGGACAGAATGTTCGCTTCGACGTCACAAAGAAATGATGATGGTTTGCGGGCGTCTCACAATATCTCGTTACTTATAGCAAAATCCGGAAAACCGCATACTATCGGAGAGAAGTTAATTTTGCCAGCCGTTGAAGAGGTTTTAAAAACTGTTTTACACAAACCTGCATCTGATATCATTAAAAGATTTCCCTTAAGCAACAATACTGTTGAAAGACGTATTGATGAAATGAGTTCTGATATTGAAAGCTTCTTATGTAATTATTTGCAAACGACCCATTTCTCTATACAACTGGACGAGTCAACTGTACCTGATAATGCAGCATTATTATTGGCATATGTTCGTTTTATTATGAATCAAGAAATCTACGAAGAACTGCTCTTCGCAAGCACTTTGATAGTCGACACTAAAGGTGAATCAATATTTCATGTTTTGAAGGATTACTTCATTGAAAAAGCAATTCCTTTATCAAATACAGGGTAACTTCGAAGTTGAGTCATTTATTTTAATAGTGAGTAGATCTGATCAAAAGAAATGTTTTTTTCCTTTACCATTTTTCTGGTAAAATTAAAGTAACAAAGTTATAGCCCTTTGGAAGTTTGAGTACCGCCCTGTCTCAATATCATGTGCTCGAGTTTGGCAACAACGGATATAATCCGCCTTACCGGTTCATCGCATCGGAAACAAAAAAGCGAAAGAATTTGGAACGATGTTTGTACAATTTATTATTTTATTTAGTTCAGTTATACCTACAGTCAGTGTCAGTCGCGTGTGAATAGTGTCTGTTGCGTGGCTCAAACGAAATAAAAAATGGCACATGTTTATGCGGATCGGTTTCCCAATCGTGTGCAACCAACCCCTCGTGTCTTTGTTAATGTAGTACAACGGGCTCGTGAATCAGGTGACTTAAGACCTCACAGGGGACCTCACGATCAAATACAGGTCCGCACTGAAATACTTGTCGGGAGGATACTTTATAAAACAAGGTAAACATTTTTATTTAATTTTTTTTTATTTTTACACACATATTTTGGTTTAACTTCCTTCTACAATCATTATCTGAAAATTAATGACTCAACTTCAAAGTATAATATCAGTAGCTACAGATGGAGCATCTGCCATGGTTGGACGTTATCCTGGATTTATAAGCTATTTAAAACAAAATGTGTCAGGGGTGTTAGCAATACATTGCGTCAGTCATCGACAACATTTAGTTGCTAAAAATTTGAGTGTCAGATTGCATGAATCACTTCATTTAGTCATTGATGCAGTAAACTGAATCCGAAGCAACGCGCAGTTGTGTGAAGAAAATGACGAACACTTTCATCAATTACTCCTTCACACTGAAGTACGCTGGCTGTCGAAAGGCTTATGTTTGACAAGATTTTTTGCATTTTTTGAGACTATTTTAGAATTTATGGATACTAAAGATAAAATTTTAAAAGAAAATTTAGTGAAGAGGAAAACAGACATCTCCTATTTAACAGATTTGTTTAGAAAACTTAATATGGTTAATTTGCAATTACAAGGCGACAGTTTAAATTTGATTAAAACAAAGTCCATCTTATCAGCGTTTCTTGCCAGAGTTAAACTAATGAAGCAAAATATTGGACGGGGCGAATTTTCTCAGTTGCCCAATTTGTCACAGACAACCTGCCAGGAAGACGACGTTTCAACTTACGTTCAACATTTAAATGCCCTCTATTCAGATTTTGAATCTAGGTTTGAGGATATTTTGACTATGGTAATACCACCGTGGATAATTAATCCATATGGTGACATAGAAGAAACGAATGTCATAATACAAGAGGAACTGACTGAACTAAGTACAAACGAAGAACTTAAGGTTCAGTTTAAAAACGGATATCAGCAATTCTGGCTGCAAAACAACATGCCCGTTACTTATCCCGTATTATGGAATATAGCGAGGAAATTTTTAATTTCCTTTCCATCGTCATACCTAGTGGAAAGGGGATTCAGCGCTGTTACCAATCTCCTAACGAAAAAAAGAAACAGACTGGACATCATTAGCCGAGGAGATTTAAGATTAACCCTTACAAAATTGACGCCAAATGTTGATAATTTATTATTAAAGCATCAGGTTCATCCTTCTCACTAAAAATATTGACTTATTGCTTATGTTATTTTATTTATAGTTTATTTTATGTTTATTGGTGTCTGACCAATAAATGCCCGCATTGGGAATAAGTGCCCGCATTGATTTTTTTTTTTATAGAAAATATATATTTTTTTTTAAATTATTCTGAAAATTCAAGGATAGGTACACACTAAAATTCGTTAATTTTTTGCCTATTTTTAGATAACTTAAACGTATAAGAAGCGGAATTTAATCAAACTAACAGTGAAATTATTGTAGAACATACGTTTATGTTATAATTAATAAACGAACTCGCTTATTGTACTATTTTAAGTAAAAAACTTTTTTTTATTATTTTTCACTTTTTTTTTATTTTATCCCTCTTATTTTTTTTTTCAATGCGGGCACTTATTCCCAATGCGGGCACTTATTGGTCAGACACCTGTTTATTTAATGTTACGTATATTTTACATAACAGATTTTAGTTTTTAATTAAGTTAATTAAGTTTTTAACACTAAACTTCACTACAGTTAGAAATTTACAGGAAATCAATATCAGGTAAGTAGGGGGTCTACCCAACACGGAAAAACGTGGCAAGGGGTCTACGACACAAAAAACTTTGGGGAACTCTGGTTTAGCTGAAAGAATACAGCTTCGGATTCTCTATGAGTCGAGATCAATCATGAAATCGCCATTTCTGACCGCAGTGCCTTATTGAGAAGTAGCATTTCTCTCCCTGTACGAAATTATAGGAGTAATCTGCGATGTTTTTGTAAATGATGACTTAACTGTTTTTATATCTACAAATATGTTTTTCAGAATTATGATCCTTAATGTACCACCCATTTTGTCTAACCTTTAATTTGTGTTACTCTGTATTCGTCAAGTAGATTGACTCAGTATTTATCACGCATTAACAACAGACACGGACTGATAAACCGACATAAATGAGAAATGCAGATATCCTTAAGCAACAGAAAACTTGTGAATGGAAGTTCAAATATTTCCGCGCGTTTAATTCCATAATTTAGGTGGTCGTAGATTTTGAAAATGTCAGAGATTCCTGCTCATTTTCAGACATTGTTTGGAAGCGATGAAAATTGTAGGTTGGAAGCTGTATGCGGTAAATGGTTGTAAATCATTGGATATTTGATGCCAGTGAAAGACCTTCTATTATTAAGAAGCTGCTGATCTCGGTGATACTATGCACCTGTTAGACATAATGAGACACACACAGGTAATTATTACCTTACTGACCCTCAAATCATGAATATGAAAGGGATTGATGGAAGAAACACAGTAAGCAAAGTAACGTCATTCTAATCCAATAGGGCGGACGTTTAATATGAGAATTGACAATACAATATCATTATGCTGCTTCCCAGTGGTTTTTGGTTTGAGAGTGATACGCTCCCAAATTGCTCCAGAAACAATGAGAATACAGCGTGCACTGGAACGGTATGTTGCTGAGCACTACCGAGTTACTCAGAGTAACTCATCAGGAACTGGAAAGGAAGTCACCATCGGAACCTATCGAATAGAATCTCGCTTGATTCCTAATGACAAGTACTCTAATCTTACAGTCTGATGATTAAGTTGTCAACTATTGTTTAAAAAATACTCATCTATAACTACATATATCAAACTTCAACTTTTTAAAATCATGTCGCTAAAATGTAGATACAATCAATTGGTCAAGAATACGATGGTGGTCCCAGAAGTACCCGACCCAACGAAGAAAACAACATTTTAGTAACAAAAAGTATTTATTTTTCAACATAATCTCCTCAGAGCTCTATATACTTTTCCCAGCGATGTTCAATAAGTTCGATACCCTTTTATAATAAGAACTGTCTTGTTCAAAATCGCCGACATGAGTTCTTCATCGTTGGAAAATCTTTGACCACTGAGCCATTTTTTTAAGTTTGGAAACAGAAAATAATCCGAGAGGGCTAAATCTGGTGAATAGGGTGCATGAGGTAGCAATTCAAACTTGAATTCGTTAATTTTGGTCATTGCAATAACGAATTTGTGAGCTGGTGGATTGTCTTGATGAAACAACACTTTCTTCTTAACCAAATGCGGCCGTTTTTGCTTGATTTCATCGCTCAAACGTTGCAATAAGTTCACATAATACTCGCCGTTGATAGTTTTACGTTTTTCAAGATAGGCAATGAAAATTATCCCACGCGCATCCCAAAAAACCGACGCCATAACCTTGCCTGCAGATGAAACGGTCTTCGCCTTCTTTGGAGCCGGTTGTCCCTTTTGAGTCCATTGTTTTGATTGTTCTTTTGTCTTGGTTGTGAAGTGATGGACCCATGTTTCATCCATGGTTATGAAACGACGCAAAAATTCTGCTTTGTTGCTGTGAAACTTCGCTAAACACTCAATTGAAACATCTTCACGACACTGTTTTTGCTCGATGGTCAGCAATCGCGGCACTCATCTTGCACACAGCTTTCTCATGTCCAAATTTTCAGATAATATGCGATGAACCGCACTGTCTGCTAGCTCGCGCACTTTCAGTCGACGATCATTCAGTACCGCTTTTTGAATTTTCGTCACCATTTCTAGAGTCGTCACCTTATATGGTCGACCACTGCGATGCTCGTCTTGGCAGCTCATACGGCCTCGTTTAAACTCTGCTACCCAATATTTTACTGTTGTAAACGAAGGCGCAGACTCACCCAGAGTAGAATCCAGTTCAGCTTTTATATTGGTTGGGCTGAGGCCTTTGAAATAAAGTATTGTACCACATAATGATGCCCAGTTTTCTCCATTTTCACAAATTCACTGAAAACGTTCAGTATTGATGGCTGCCAAACAAATACTAAACAACCTGGCATCTTCAAACTTCACACATATGCTTTATAGGTTGCATACTTTCCAATACAATGATATTTTTCAAACAACTATCGCCATCTCTAGGTCAGGCCCGGTACTTCTAGGACCACCCTCGTACTTAATAGGTACATATAAGTACGTTTCCCGCATTTACAAGAATCTGCTATATTTTTTATGTTTCTTTTATGCATCGAATAGATTTGATCCTGAAATATACATACATATGAATAATTACACTGATCAACAGCCAAAAAATATCCTTAATAAAATCAACAAAATATTACTTTTTTTAATGTGCTAAAACCGGATTGAAACTTATTTTTTCAATATTAGTTCAAGTTTTAGAGATCCGGTCATTATATGTGTTCCTGCTGTGACAGTGTTAATATACTGTAATTCACAAGAATGCACGTGCTACATTTTTATATTCGGCAAGGAAAGATGATGTAATCGGCATAATTGTGTTACGTTATACATACGTGTACATTATATTGTTTTATATTAGCCATTTTTTCCTCAGTTGGCTGACAGCGTTCATGCAAGATGTCTCGAAGGTGTGTAAACAATCCAGATCAGTTTTGTTACGTGTGCGGTGATGTGACTTTTGCGTCTCAGAGACGGTCTATTACTCCACTAATAACAAAGGCATATCAGCTTTATTTCGGTTGTAAACTAGGTGATCAAGACAAACAGTGGGTACCCCACATCTGCTGTAATACATGTGTTTCAAGTCTGAGGAGCTGGTTAAATGGCAAAAAACGGTCTATGCGCTTTGCTGTCCCAATGGTTTGGAGAGAGCCTACAAATCATATTAATGATTGTTACTTTTGCATGGTACCTTGTGTTGGACAAGCCACAGGAATGTCCAAGAAAAAAAAATCGGTTATTAACTACCCAAACATACCCATCTGCGATGAGACCTGTGCCTCACAGTGACGAAAATCCTATTCCAAAACTCCCAGAATCCTACACTTGCGAATCAGAAAACGAATCAGATCATGGCGATCGAGTGATTCGTCAGGGAGAAGATATGCCATCAACGTCAAGAGATCCTGATTTTATACCGAGCACGTCATGCCACCAACCGCACAAAATAACACAGTCAGAATTAAATGATCTTGTAAGAGATTTAGAACTTCCAAACTGTAAGGCAGAGTTACTTGGATCAAGACTGCAGCAGTGGAACTTGTTAGAAGACGATGTTTCGGTATGTGTTTTTCGTAAACGCCACAAAGACTTAGAACCATTTTTCAATATGGAGAATAACTTGGTTTTCTGCAGTAACATTAACGGCTTACTGGCTGCTTTAAATATAAAATACAACCCAGAAGAATGGAGATTGTTTATAGACAGTTCAACATTGAGTTTAAAGGCAGTGTTATTGCATATTGGAAATATTTTACCATCTCTTCCTGTAGGGTATGCAGTTCACATGAAAGAATCATATGACAATATGAAGTACCTATTGACATGCATAAAATACGATGAGCACCAATGGCATATTTGTGGCGATTTGAAAGTTGTTGCACTTTTACTTGGGCTGCAGCTAGGCTACACAAAGTTTTGCTGTTTTTTGTGAGAATGGGACAGTCGGGCAAAGGCACTTCATTACACCAGACAAAACTGGCCTGTTCGTCAATTCCTAGAGCCAGGTCAAAAAAATGTACAGCATATGCCATTAGTAGATTCGAAAAAAAATTTATTACCACCACTACATATCAAGTTGGGCCTAATGAAAAACTTTGTCAAGGCATTAGATAGAGATGGGTCAGCTCTTCAATACCTGCGTCAGAAATTTCCAAGACTAAGTGAGGCAAAGGTTAAAAAAGGTATTTTTGTTGGGCCACAGATTCGAAATATTTTGAAAGATACACAGTTTGAAAATACTTTAACAGGTATTGAAAAAACTGCTTGGAATGATTTCCGTCTGGTGGTCACTAATTTCTTGGGAAATAGAAAAGCTGACAACTATAAAACCCTTGTCAAAAATATGCTGTCATCGTATCAAAAGATGGGCTGTAATATGTCTCTTAAGATACATTTCCTACACTCACACCTGGACTTTTTTCCTGACAATTGCGGAGCCGTAAGTGATGAGCACGGCGAACGTTTTCATCAGGATATTTCAACAATGGAAAAAAGGTACCAGGGAAAGTGGAATCCTATGCTTGCAGACTACGGTTGGACTCTTGGTAGAGGTGCTCCAGAAACGATCCATAAAAGAACAGCACAAAGCGCATATAGTGATTCTTATAAGTATATGAATCTTGTTACTTTTTTTAATATATCCTTAAAAATAAAGTTTTTTTTCTAAACCGCAACCAATTTTTTTATTTCATTGTCATTTTTGGATTCAGCGCCCCAAAATTAACAAAGAAGTGCACTTTTCCCACAAGATACAATTAAAAAACTAAAATTTGTTGTCCAGTGTTATTTTTGCTTACGTGAATAAAACAAAGACATTATATGAGTTATTCTCGTTTTTTTCACACATTGTTATTTATATTATCCGTTTAAATTTGGCATTATTATATTTAATTTCTCAGAGAATTAACTCATTTTTTATGTATAAATTTACTATTTCTCACTTTTTTGAAAATCTCACTTAAATTTATGCTTTGGGCCTCTAGCACCTTTGAGTTTGCTATCCAGATGTCGAAGATTGATCGTACTTAAGTGAACCTGCCTAAAGACGATTACCCCTTTTGAAATGATTTGTCATCCCTTTTCTTGGAAACCTCTAACTAAAGCGTAAGAATAAAGTCAATCTATTTGACCCCATTTTTTTTATACTGAATTTTCTAATTTTTTTTTGGAGTGCTCTGTCTAGCAGGTGTATTGTGTAAAAAACGTAAAAAAAACGACGAAATGTCATCTTGCAGACCAGGTAGTTTCTATGTTCATTCCAGGTTTGCTTGCTATGATCCCTGTTCGCTGAGGTGCAGCTACAAAACGAGTTCACAACAAGTGTACAACAGCTTGTGTTAAGTCATCATCTTGTAGGAAAACTTACGTTATATCACAAAAAACCAACGAAATGTCAAAAAACCGTCAAAATGTCACCTTTTAAGATACGTAATACCCGTGCCGATCATATTATGTCTCGTCAGGTATCCATCAAATTATAGAGCAGCTTCTGCAGAGTAAAGGTTAAACTTATTTTTTACAATACGTTCCGGAAACTGATAGATACGGTTCAACATAACGCGGGATCGCGTTTTTAAAATTCCTTCGTTCGGTCGACGTTTAATTCTACAATTTATTGTTTCAGCGAAAAGGTGCTCCCGTTGAAACCGTCGAGCACGACCCTCTGCAACAGGTCGAAGAACAATCTTCTCTCAATCAGACACCGCCACCCGCACCAAAGCAAACCGCCACGACAAAACAAATCGCCACCTCCAAACAGATAGCGGCGGCCAAACAAGCCGCTCAGGCTAAACAGGTCGCCGCAGCGAAGGCAGCTTCTGCTACCAAGAACGTAGCCCCGCCCAAAAACGCATCTCCGCCCACCAAAGCCGCGCCTCCCGTTCAGGCGGTACACGAATCCGGCAGGCCAAAACGCAGTTGCAGGGGCCAATCGGCGATCGATGTGCTGGGCATCAAGCCTAGGAAACCGAGGCAGCCGAGTGCGGCCAAAGGCGGAGGCAAGGGAGGGAAGAAAGGAGCTGCTGAGGTGAGTACTTTTAGGGTGTAGAGGTTTGCCTTGCGGTAAAATGTTCTGAAGGTGGTTTGTATTATTGAAGCAATAATATTTAGTGTGTTCGTGTACCAAAAGAGAGATGCCATATTTCGCGCTATACAGGGTGTCCGCAAAGTTGGGGTTTTCCTTTACACGGCGTGTAGATCTTGAAAACATAAGCAATTTTCCTTAGTACCATATACACCAATGTCTTAAGGGAACCGAGATAAAGGGCTCTGCAACATCAAAAATATCTGAATACCGTCCTGTAGCCGCGACCCGCGACATCCCCGAGTGGTACTAGGACACTAGCTCAACCCGACGACAGAACTGGGTCGATGTCAGTGTGTCAGGTCAGTATGCAACCTTCAACCGACGGTTACGGTCACGCGTGTAGAGGTAAACGAACCCGTATAATCGATTGCGTTTCAAAAAAAAAAATAATAATAATGGCACACTCATACACCAATAATGAATTCGTTGATATGTTGTTAATTCATGGCGAATGTCTTCAAAATGCTACAGAGGCGTCGCGAGTGTATGCAGATCGTTTTTCCGTGTTTCCCTAAACGACAACATCCAAGGCCCCGCAGATTTGTGTACCTGGTCCAGAGAATCAGGGATACGGGCCATTTGGAGGAATTTCGAGGTGGGCACAGTGGGAGGCCTAGACAACCACGAATGGTGCAAATTGAGGAAGAATTACTGAATCGCGTAGACGAGAATCCCTCAACAAGCACTAGAGACGTCGCTAGAGAAGTGCAAGTATCAAAAACTAAAGTGTGGCAAACGCTGCGTGAAGAGGGGCTGTATCCGTTTCACGTCCAACGAGTACAAGCCCTTCAACCTGACGATTTTCCAGCAAGAGTGCGGTTTTCTGAGTGGTTGTTGCAACAACATGACAATAATCCGGACTTTTTGAAGTGCATATTGGTGACAGACGAATCTACGTTCACGCGTAATGGGGTGAATAACTTTCGCAACACTCATGTTTGGTCAGTAGAAAATCCGCACGCTGTCCGTCGGGCACATTTTCAACAAACATTTTCGGTGAATGTTTGGGCTGGCATGGTGAACGGTATGCTCATTGGACCATTTATTCTCCCAAATCGATTGGACGGGATGCAATACCTAGACTTTTTACGCAACATTTTGCCTTCCTTGTTAGAAGATGTGCCATTAAGTGTAAGACAATCAATGTGGTTTATGCACGATGGTGCACCGCCCCATTTTAGACGCGAAGTGCGTGAGTTTTTGAATGAATTATTTCCGAATAGGTGGGTCGGACGTAATGGACCCGTAGCGTGGCCTCCGCGATCTCCAGACTTAACACCAAGTGATTTTTTCTTTGGGGAGAAATGAAACGCTTAGTGTACAAAACTGAAGTGCATCCGGTTGACGAACTTCGTCTCAGAATTCAATAAGCTGGTGCTTTCATTCGGGGGGATGGACTCCATTCTCAAAGCCTGCACCGATGCTTGGCTACGTCGTGCACGCACCTGTGTTTTTGAATCAAACGGCGATAACTTCGAACAATACCTATAAAGTACGTTTACCTAAAAACTGTAAACGCGGCAACGCCGTCATATTTGTTACCTCTGTTCGTGGTCTGCACCACCGCCGGCGTCTGCTCGGTAGCGCATCAGCTGATTTCATTTTCTGTTGGAGCGGTATGATTTCGGGCAGAGACGTACTTAGCCCTTCTCGTCAACTGGAGAGTGAGTACTTTTTCCTTTATTTTTTTTTACTTGGTCGCCCTCGTTTCACTACACATTACCTTTGTTATTTCAAGGGTAGTTGTTTCTGAAAAGGAAAACCCCAACTTTGCGGGCACCCTATATTAACCTGACAAAAAATACCTGATCGTTAAATTCGAGGATAATCTAAATATTTTTTGTTTGTCAATTTTTGCTGTATTTCTAAAAGTGAAGTGGTGGGGTGTGTTCAAAGGTTTCCGTAAAAAACACACATCTTTGAAACGGCTGAACCGATTTTAACAAACTTGGGCTAGTTGAAAAGAGCTATTCTTGGGCTACAAATGTTATATATTCGAAGTATTGTTAGTTTTTTTTTCGACATTCCGACAGAAATGATTAATTTTCTCCAAAAATTAAATGCACTGGTATTTTTATAAAAAAGTAGCTAAATTATGTCTAAAGCTCTCGAAAACCGCATCGCGAAATATTGTTCCTAACCTAAAATGTATGCCAAATAAAATTTCCCAGATACAGTAAGTACCTCGTATTCCTAGTTTGCCACCCTGTACAGCAGATGAAATTCATTTCCTTCATCGTCGACACTTCTGGCGTCACCCGCTCTATGATTTTAACCTCCTATCTCTAGTCTAGTCTACTTTGCTTCAATGATAAAACCGTTTGAGTGAATATTTTACCTTGACAATATTTTTTGCATCTTTTGAAGATCAGTGTTTTACTTCAAAGGATGAACTTTGACACGATACATTTGTTTTTAGCGAAGGAAGTTGTGAAAGGAGATCATACTCGTGTGGGAGTGCTGTACATAAAATATTAATGTGTAATAGTGACACATAAGCTTTACTAAGAAGTCTGATCCAAATAAGATAGTGTTATCAAACACTTTATAATGTTCGTTGCGTCGTGAGATATAGTATATATGTTATATATTTTTTTCTAAAGGAGAAAATATTGTATAAACGTTTTTATGTTCATATCGTACTTTCGTGTAATATCTGTTAAACAGATGAGAGCTTTTAGATGAATATAAATGGCCTGCTTTGAACTTGGTTTGATGTACGTCTTTGGGATATTTTTTTATTTTTGCATTTAAGGATGTCCTGTTTTAATTTATATTTTCAATGCTAGTGAAGATGTACTCAGCTGATTTTGAGGCATATCTATGGTTGATATTTTATTTTATCTTAAACGCCAGAATTTTTTTTTTCGTTACAATCTTAGTAGATCTTTCGAAAAGTTTGCTATAACCTCCCGAGACCCAGACATGTTTTTCATAAGTTAGAGTTGTGACGTTTTTAAATATAACAGAAAATACATTAACAAACATTCTTTACTGAGGACATTTTTTATTTTTTTTTCTTATTTTGAAAGATACATGACGTCCATTAAAATGGACATTGGGTCTTAACCTATACAAAAATGCCTAATGTATAAGTTATTTAGATGGTTAAAAATACATTTAAAATTAAAACTTAAACTTATAAGAACATAGAAAATAAACGTAAACTTAAATTTATCTGTTATGGAACTCTATAAAGCAGTTTCTGTAGCCAGTTATGCATAAGAATGTGTTACATCTATTACAAAAAAACTTCGTTTTTTTAGTACAACTGTCATTTTTACATCGAACCGAATTTCTTAAATCTGAGGCAATTTCTGGGTAATGTTCTTTCCGCTTTCTTTCGGTGCCTGCTGATGGTGAATCAACAATGATATTACCCTCAGGATTTCTTCGAGTTCCTATACCTCGTATATTTTCTTGGAAAATGTTGGATTCATTTTTCAAAAGGTACGTGGCAATTTCGATTTTAAAATCTAGATACTGCTGTATTTTTCGTGTAGAGGTTTGAAATATCTTTTTATCTCTTCGATAAAAAATCCATGAGTTTGCCAATGCTAAATGAAAGAAATGGAAAATGACTCTCACAGTCCATTTTTTTGATCTGGCTTGAATTCTGTAATAGCTGATCATTCGGTCTATCAGGTCAATTCCTCCCATACAATCGTTGTATTTAGCAACAATGTAAGGTCTTGCAACTTGTATGTATTTAGAGTCTTTCTTAGACCACCGTTTACACTCATCACTAGGTTGAATTCCTAGACGAGTAGATGCCAAAAGTACAGATTTCAGGTCATACCACTGTACAACCACTATTTCGCCATCTTGCCTTACAATTTGTTCCGAGCTACCTCTACCTATCTTGGCCATCATTTTGTCTGAAGTTAAATGTGCTGCCGCTGGTACACGAGATTTCATAATCGTTCCAGTACAATATTTCTTTTGTTGGCGAAGATATTCAAGAAGTGGTATTGTCGTAAAATATCTATCGCAATACACATGAGTTCCAGGAAATAATGTTCTTCCAAGCCGAACAACAGCAGAAGGTCCAACACCAAGTCGTTTTACAGAATCATCTGGAAACGTATTTTTTCCTTGATATAGTTCAAAGTCTACGACAAGACCATCAGGAGCAGCAACAACAAAATTTTTCAATCCCTCTGGATTGGGTTTTCCCCTAACAAACTGCTTCATTTGACAAGTTCCAGTGAATGGTATCATCTGCTCATCCACAGCAACTACTTTCTCTCTGGGTAGCTGCAAGCACCCCTGCAATACTGCTTCTAAAATAGGACGCACTTTCCAAAATTTGTCATACCTGCGTTTCTCCTCAGAGATGCTGCCATCAATTACGACTTTGAGGTTACTTCTTATAGAAAAAAACCTATCTCGAGTCATAACATCCGCAATAGCTGCAACCCTCGTGGGTTTGGCCCAGTACATTCTGATTCTAGGATATTTTAGGCAGGACATTAAACAAATTATCCCAAAGAAATGTTTAATCTCATTAAGTGTCAATCTAAGGGATACTCCTTTAAGTTCAACATACCTTGCATTTGTGCAATTACATACTTTTTGGAACATGTCATCTTCTAAGTACATGGCAAAATACGATTTTGCAGTCCAACCATCGCGAAGCTGTGCGCTGCATTCACTAGACGGACCTTCAAAATTTGGAGGTGTAAAAGTATCATTCCTTCTCCAAAACTGTCGCTGCGAAGAATTGGGAGTTTGTTTGGCCGTTCTTAACTTTTCTCTAAGGACACTAAGAGGAATTCTGTCCTCTCCTTCCTCGTCACTGCTGCTCACCAGGTCTTCATCATTTATTTCGTCCTCTCTCTGTACTAAATTATCCATATTTTCAATTTCATTTTCATCATCAGACATTTCAACGTCAGAATCATCGTTTGCAATGAGTTGTAGTATTTGCTCCAATTTTT